GTGTATTTTTCACATCTGTCTCCCAGTGTTTCCTAAAGATGCTGCATCTCAAAACACCATGACAACAGCATTCCACTCTATAAAGGAGTGGTTCATGAATTAATCCAGCTCTTTGTTTGGCAAAGCATTCTTTAATAACTACACAAAATATACGACGTATGTTTTTATTGGTAACATACCTTAGATACCCATTTACTGTACTTTTAAAGAGGCTCCAACACTACTGAATATGCCATCTGGTAGTTAAAATGACAAAAATGATTAACTTTGATCCCATATCCCAGACATTCGGAGATAGAGTCCTTTATCCAGCCTCTTGGATAGTTCCTCTCTTTGTGGCCTTTTCTACAATTGGATCTGCCAATGGGACCTGTTTTACTGCAGGCAGGTAAGCTCCCATTCTAAATATCTTAAAATGAAAATTTTTAAAGGATGGAAAAAATTTATATATATACACTTATGTATCTACACACATAAAGATAGATTCTTCTGATCCAAATGTACAAAATGTAATTAAGTACCTGCAAATCTTTAATCTTCAAAAAGAAACAGTGGCTATGCAGGTTGGAAAAATTAGAAAATAAGGTCTCCTATTCTTAATTCAAAGCAGATACAGCACAACAGGTTTTTTTTTGACCCCTCAACAAATTTAAAGCTAAGAATCAAACAGTTAAAAAAACCCTACCAGTAAGAACATGACTACACCAGTAATGATAAAGATAAGAATTGTAAAGAGAAGCTATTCCTATCAGTTGTTCAATGCTTCCATTTACTATTTCAAAATATTTTAAAATTTCAAATCCATCTGAATGTGATAGGGCTGTAAAGACCAACTTTTCTGACAGAAGGCTGTCAGTGTAGTTTTTTTGATATGAAGCAAATTAAAAAGGAAATAATTAAAAGGGATACAGTAGCTAACATTTAAAATTATTTTGGAAAAAATGCAAACTAATGATTCTGAAATTAGTTTCAGGTTCACTAGTTTAACACTGGTTATTACCCTTACTTCAGTGTACTACAATACTCCTTAAATCCCACTGCATATCAAAGGAAATACTGACAAAATTATAGTCAGATGTAGTCACACAATAAAACAAGCCTGAAAATGAATTTATTATTTTTTTGTTTTTTTTAGAAATGCCAGTTAAAAGTCTAGGTGCCACACTAACTAGATTGCCTTGTTTTTATTTTGTCAGACTTGTTTATGTTGCAGGTCGTGAAGGGCACATGCTAAAGGTGCTATCTTACATTAGTGTTAAGCGTTTAACACCAGCACCTGCTATCATATTTTATGTAAGTATATATTCTAAGTACAGAAAAATTATCAACAAAAATTCTAAATACATGCTTTCACGATTTCTTACCAGCCATCTTGACACATATCTTTGACTATCTAGACAAGAAAATTGCTAAATACATATTAGGAAAAAAAGACTATATAAACCCCCCAAATTCGCAATTTGAACAGTTTCATTCCAGAACTGGATTTTAAAATTAAAATGTTTAAGAATCCACTGCATGAAAACAAATCAAAAAGTTAAATGAATGATTAGTATTAGGCAAATCCTTTCACAGGATGTGCCTGAAAGCAAGCTATCACTACCCTATTTGCTCCCTGTAAGAATGCATTTACATCTCACTAAAAAAAATTATATTCAGCGAATACATTTAAAAATAAATCTAGAATATCTTGTTATTTTTATTTTAACCATTTATCTTCAAGGTAAAACAAGATAAGTTAAGAATTCAATTGCTCTTTGACTCCCAGCAACTTGAATAACCTAAAAATATATTTAGTATCTTCACTTACTCCAAGATACACAGTCAACAAATTAACGCACACAAATTTTAAGTCTTTTGACTTCAAATGGAATTAAGATTGCGCACAAAAATAAACACACGTTGGCAGGACGCGGACACCATCTTTAAAGGTGTTGCAATACACCTACCGAAATGTTTAAGCAAAAGCATTCACAGATCATACTCTGGAACACCATAACACACTGACACAAGTAAAATTCAGCCTTCTTATTATAACAGACTCTATAAATTTTTGTTTTCATTTTTAGGGGGCCATTGCTATTATTTATATTATCCCTGGTGACATCAACACACTCATAAATTATTTTAGTTTTGCAGTCTGGATATTTTATGGTTTAACTGTACTTGCACTCATCGTTATGAGGTTTACGAGAAAGGAACTCAGGAGACCAATCAGGGTGAGTTCAGCATTCAATATTGGTTTTCCTCCATTCCCATAAATACTGAAACACTAACACATCCTAAATATTTGGATATTTAAACAACATTCTCAGGCAGATGCCTCCTTGTTTGTTTTTTCCTCCCTTACCTGAAACCTAGCCATTTATTTGTAATTCTTCTCTTTGTTCCAGTTTTGCACTAGGACAAAGCTCATAAGGACTGGGAAAAGATTACACAATGTTTATTTTAATTGCACAGACCACAGGCATAAGCCAGATTTTCAGTGATGGGAAACTGCAGTCAGCAGACTACCACTGAAAGAGTACCCGAAATAACGCCCCAGGTCATTGCACTGGAGTCAGGTCCCAGATTCATTAAAATGCAAATTTTTAAACAGCAATTTGCAATACAGACAAAGAGACCTTGGTCAATGATTTAGCAAAAGAGTTTTCCCTATCTGTATTCTTGCTACTCTTTCAAGTGCCCCACCTAATGACAGAAATATTAAAAGGAAAAAAATGCATAAGGCCATAAAAATATTCTTCTTTCATATGTGCAACTTCTGTAAGAACAGCAAAAGAACAAACAAGTAATTTTGTGCTTTGTATCTTGCAGATACCCATCATCATTCCAGTCATAGTGACGTTAGTCTCTATTTTACTGGTATTGGCACCAATCATCAGTGCACCTGAATTGGCCTATTTGTACTGTGTTTTATTTATACTTAGTGGACTTATAGTTTATGTACTTTTTGTTCATTTTAAATTCGACTGGCCCCAAAAAATATCAAGTAAGTATACCTTGGATAGCCAGCTCCAAATTCAACAAAACATTGCTAAGCTTTAGATTAATGATCATAATGAAGCTCATTATGTGGTCCATCCCATCTAAATCACATGAGCAGGGTGTGGAGGGAGGCAATTTTCCAGGCATATAGTAAGAGGCATATAGTGAACTTTACTGAAGATTGTGATTTAACTCCTTCGTGTGGGAAAAAAGTGATGCCTGACTTCAGGAAAAACAAAACTTAATTCACAAAAGAGCAATACATCACTGTAGTAGTACAAAGAAACTGACTTTTAAAATTAACAGAACTATTTTATCCGTAAAGTTAGTTTTTCGACTGTCTGTATTTCAAAATATTGCTTTAGCCATTAACTAAACATTAGCAGACATACATTCTTATGCCACGAAGTAGTGTGCTTTGAGCTCAGGTTATCAATTTCACTATACTTACTAAAGAAAACATTAACAGCATTAAGACCAAAAATAATCACAGTGCTGCTGAGTAAAGTAAAAGCTGCAAGAAACCAGTGTGACCATTTATAAAATTATTTTGCACAGTCACAAGAGAAACTCTTTGCAATTATCTCAGGGAAAACAGGATACACAGATATTTCTAAAAGGGTAAGCGGAACCAGCTGAAGAGGACAGAATTAGTAGTTCTATAGACATTAAAAAAAAATCCATCATCTGTCTCTCCTGCCCCCCGGGTTATTAAATATTATATAATTCTGCAATTAGAAGCATTGTACTCTATAAGAGCAAGTTTAGAAACCCTGGAATGTTGTAGCTTGGGTCTTAAGATTGTTTTTATTCCTCTCACCTTATTTTTTGAGATACAAATACAGAAAAGACAGACAACTACTCACAAGGACAATTTCCTCACTTAGAAAAATAGTGTAAGTCTGAATAGAAATACTGTTATCTCATAAAGCCTCTAACAACAACTTTTCTTCTCAGAGCCCATCACTATGCACCTTCAGATGCTTTTGGAAGTTGTTCCAGCAGAAGACGTTACTGAATAAAAATTTTTACATGTACAGTGCTATACTGGTTGAAGGAGATTCAATTTAGTTTGGCACACATTTATACTTTTGAAATTGTTACGTTCATGCTGGTGTATTATTTTCTGCAACACTTTAATACTTGAAAAATGTTAAATAAATTAAGAATAAAAGATTTCTGAGCCAGAGTAGTGTCCACCAGAGCTGTTTTCTTTGTTTGCCAATACATTACAGTATCTTGTTTTCTGCATTAGAACTACTCAAAATAAACAAGAGGAACTTTTCAGTTATGAAGATGGCAAAACTTACCAGCAACACGGTCAAAATGCTTTTGATCATGTTGCTGAAAGAACAAAGCAGCTGTCATTTACATCATCACATTCAACAGCCTACACAGAAAGCACAGAAATAACGTAAAACCAGACTAACCCATTCTCAGTTTCTCAGACCAAACACTAGCTATCAAAAAATTGAAGGACTGAGGAAGTGGGAATCAAGTAAAAATGGAAAGCACAGTTGACAGGAAAAGAGGCTGATTTTTTTTTTTTTTTTTAAATTAAAACAAGAATCAATTAAAGGTTAGTTTCTCAGGTATCCGTTTTTTCCAACACCACCCAAGTTATAGAACAGTGAATAAATGCCACAAAAATTACCCTCATCATGAACGTGACTTTACAGAGGTAACTTCATCACCCTAGAAACACTCCATTTGGTAGCTGATGAAAATAAAATACAAAAAATGGATACTACATTAACATATAGACGTAAGCAGCTTTTCCTTTTCCTGCCCAAGAAACTTACGGATTCTAGGTAACATTCTTTACTACTATATTCCCTCTGTGCAAATGGATAAAGAAAGGATTTTTAGCAAGTCACTTGTCAATATTTTAAAGTGATTAATTTGAGAACGACTGCTTATACTGAAAGCACAAGTCCTCTCAACAACTTCCAAGCACATTCATCCTAAATATATAACACAAGACTATTAGGCAACTGGCTTAAGATCCTAAGTCCATACTAACTCTAGCCTAGCAAATTCAACTAAAGAAGCTATTTCTATCATCCTGCAGCTACAAAGAAATAAATAAAACTTAAGCTCCTACATAATTTCATTTTGGATCTACCTACATGGAAAACCAATACCAAAAGTTGCATATAAAAACAATGGGTTCCGATTCATTTGAAGGAGATTTTGTCATTATTGTCATATCCATGAAAATACCAGTTTCATGTGCAATCAGGGTAAAACAAAAGCAAAAAGAGGGTTAAGAGTGACTAAAGAAGGCAATGGAGAACAAAACAAAATTGTAATTATGTCATTACATATAAAGTGCCTACTTGCCACAGTGTTTTGTCCCAGTCACTCTATAAAAACTGCTGTTCCTCTACTCCAGTTGCTAAAAACATCACTTCAAACAGAAGAACCATAAGGTTCAGGGAAGACCAAAGGAACAGAAAACTTGTACGAGGAATGAATATCTACAATTTTGAAGGCTGAAATGGAAACACCTGATTGGGGATGAGGGGAAATATCATGACAGAGGTTCATGGGCAGAGTCATAAAGTGACAAGAAAACGGGAAAAGCAAGCTATCTGTTCCAACTACAGAGGGTACAGGATTTCAAGCAGACGGAGCAGGGATGGCTTCAAGACACAGAAAAAAATATTTCTTCACAAAATATGTTGTTTGACTACTGAATTCCTTAGTGCAGGATAAACGTTAGAAGTTTACATATGTTCCAAAATTCAACTGAACTAATTCAAGTAAGTCCACAGAAAACATCTTCCTCATGAAGACCCTGATCAAAAATTGCTTGAGGCCAAAAGAATATTCTTGGAATGTACTGCTACTTTTTTTTTACACTGGTCTTTATAGACTGGCTCTCGGCAGCTGGTAAGAACATTATGACTAAAACTAGCTTTTGCTTCTACCTCATACAAGGTGTCTTGTTTTTCAAACAAAAATTACAGGTAATTTATGTCTATTAAATAACCCACTAGATTTATCTACCAGCAGAAAAATCACCTTACATTATATTTAGATATCACACAAGTCAAAGAACAAAACACGCAAAGGAAAAAATCCTGCCTCATCACACCTTTTTTTTTTTTCTAATTAGGTGATTTGACAGTCATCTCTTTGCATCATAATGCAGAACAAGACCAAAACACAGTTACATTAGCTATTTCCTTAAGTACTCTTACAACTGTTATAGCTTTGCATGTACCTGTACCCAAGTAAAAGTTATATGTAAGCTCAGTTGTATTCAGGTTCCCAACAGCACTAAATTTTTTAGCCATACATCAACAATTACAACGGTTTCTGTCACATGGCAGTTTTCCACTGGTATCAGCAATATTCTTAAATATTCAGAAAGAAGCAGCTTCATTATATGCTAATACTAGAAAACCTGTAACTGCCAGTGTAAACATATTAATAGAGTCCTCCTCCCATTCTTGAAGTAAAGGTATCCCAATGTTCCTTGAAAGAATAATCCCCAACGAGCAAGTATATTCTTCCTAGTCAAGAATACAACAATATTTTAGGCTTCTTAAAATAAATCTGTAAAGTCTCATCTCTATTCTAAATAACCATATAGTTATGTTGGGGAAACTAATGTGTTTTAAAATCTACAGATGCAAAGAGATCGATACCAGATTTATTTATTATAAATATATTTTACATCACTATTTTGCTGCAAAATGTTCTGGATGTGCACAAATCTAACAGCAAAAAATTATTTACTGGAAGATGGTATATTAAAAGGCAAAGCCTTAGTGCTAAACAGACAAAATTTTATTGTTCATTTGCAAACAAGAAAAGTTTTAGATACATGAAATGAGAGGTAATGAAATAAGAGCATTCATGAAAAGTGAAAATGTCAAATCGAAAACAAATACCGAATCTACTATCACAGTGCTCGTTCCACAAAAGCTGTGCAGCAGTTAGTTACTACAGTGAGCTGCACTGTACAGTATTTCATACCAAGTCAACATGTTCCCAATCTAGTGAAAAAAACTGCCACTGGAGTTGAGGCATCATTTCTTGATGCAGAACTGACAAATGTCATGATTGCCAACAAACTGATACTGTGTGAATGCAAAAGTTATGGTAGAAACAATCGACAGATCATTAGGATTTGTGAAACTTCAAAAAATTACTAATTGCTAATACAGCAAATTCACTCAGATAAAGTAAACTAGAAGCTCTGTAATCACTAATGAATTCAACTGCTTCATAACCCAAGTTTAAATCTTTAGATGTGTTTGGAGAGCACACATACATATATGCACATCATCATTACAGCCAACAATTTTAAAGTGAAGGCACTGGAAAACATACACAATGTTCTTCTATGGAGGATTTCTTCAGATTGTCAGAGCCCAAAGCTAAGGAGTTGGTTTGCTATTTTCCTCCTAAAATTAAGGACAGTTCTGCAACCTACACGTTTAGTTTCATCAATTTTAGTGGAAAAAACTCATGCAAGAGACACTATTTTGAAGCATAATTCTTATCAGAGGGAAAAGATGTGTCTACAAATTACTCATCACTTTCTGTTTCACTGTCTTCTGAGGACTCAACCAATTCTTCCGTTACTGCAGCAGGGCAATACAGTTTTTTAGTACCTAGAAGTAATTAGCAAAGTAACATTTATAAAGCAAGAAAAAACAAGAGCTTCAGAACAAATATGTAGTAGTACTAAAAAAATCAAAACCAAGACAACACCCCAACTTTAGACTAGAAACCAGACCAAAACACTAAAAAACTACTTCAAGCTGCTTTTTGTCTGTGCTATTGTGATAGAAAAATACCCTGCTGCCTACAGTTCACTATTAGAGGTCCTCTCATGTGTTTTCAGAGAATTTGAGCAAGCCAGCTAAGTGTCACATATCTGAAATAAACGATTGTTTCAAATATAGCCTATGCAAAAATAAGGATGCTAATCATTTTATGCATTATAAACACTGATTCATTCATTCCTTACCAACTGGAAAAGGGCTTTTATCTTCAAAATCTTCCCAGTGTTCAAAATCAAGAGAGACTTGAGGATTCTGTTGACAAAAACATTATTTGAAATACCTGCACTGACGCGCAGTGAATTCAGTAACTCTCAAATTAATTTCCACTTCACCTTGTTCTTCAGTAATTTGCACCATGCTCCTTTTTTCTCTTTCACAAGAACAATAATAGCCTCTTTATCCTTAATCACACATGTAGACTTTTCTGCAAGTATATATTGATGCAGCTCCATGTCAGCCAAATAAAGTTTGTCTCCTGAACAAGCACTACATTATAAAAAAGTTTAAAAAAGTTAAATGCAAGCTGACAGTCAAACATTTTGTTTATTATACTTACATTTCTTAAACCTACCTGAAAACCACCTTCTCTTTAGAGAACTCACATTTACAGTCAGCTACACTTGCTATTTTTACCTTCACGGTAACAGTCTCTTCATTTTGAAACCACTTTATTTCTGGATGAAAGCTAAAATAAAGGAGGTTTAATTGGATTTTTTCCAAAATAGAAAACAACTGAGTTTTAGACAAGCGGTCTCACATACAGTCAGAATTTTCCCATTAGGTTACAAACAACCAGCTAAGTTTCAGCATCTGTAGGTGTACTCAATTGTGATAATTTGACACTGAATAGCAGTGTCAGGAAAGCACATGATAGGACACTAGCCAAACTTGCTACAAAAGCACTGCAATCTCAGTCTTTGGGGGAGCCCATCTACTAGTTCAAGTGGGGAGACACACTCCATTAACTTTGATATCTAAAGGAATCAAACTTACTGCCTCATTTAAGGATGCTATCATAGCCTAATCTTGAAATGACAAAGGAAAAGGTAACAGTAGCAAGACCAACCTCTGAAAGTAAACTTTTCAACTGATCACAGACACAAATACACATTTCTCATCAAGATTTTTCAACCACTTATTCCACAAACTTACCCCAAAATGCTGAAAGGTTTTAACCAGTGAAAGATAAATCCTATTAGCAGACTACAATATCCATTCACTCAGGTTAGTCCCCTTATCGTACCCTCAGTCATATCCAAACCCTCACTAACTTAACTGCTAAGCCATACCTCAACATGTATTACATAATGGAGAGGATCTTAAACTGTGCTAGCCAAGCTGCAGAAGGAGATACATATGGACTCAATCACCCTACTAAGAACTTTTCCAATAGGCTAAATACAAAATACTTCCGGTATTTGCACAAGAAAATGTTAGTCACCCATAACTAGCATTAATAGGTAGAAGAAAAAGAATGAGCTACCAAAAGGGAAGCACTGCCTAGTCTCAAAGCGTGTAAGAAATTAAAAAACTTCTCAGGATCTACTATCTGTTGACTTTGCCCACAAACCACACCTAAGATGTCCCTCAGCGTATTCATAATCAAAACCAAACCTAGCATTCATTTTCACTGCATGCTTCTCAAATTATTTAGCAACAGAAATTGTCCTATCTGCAAAGGAATAAGGATAATTAATCCAATTTCAAACAAACAAAAACCCATCACCAACACCCACCCACCACCACCACACCAAAAACCAAAAAAAAAAGGAAATGGGCCACAATTTTGTGTTGCAGACACATTCTCAGAATAAGGACAGATTTCTTTTTTTTCTTTTTAAGAACAGAATCACATTAAGGGGAGAGACACAATACTAATTCACCTCATTAAATACCTATACACAGAGACAGAAGGGTAGGAGTTACAATTTAGACCTCAAAATAGGACAGTCTTTGGTTAAAACATAATCCAGACAAGTGCAAGTCAGAGTTTATAGCCATGGACTGAGCTGAAAAAGCATTTGTTTTCATTCACTTCCCAGTACTATGGTGTCCAATAAAAAATTATGTACATAATTTCAACAGGTAGTGTTAACTTCCAGGAGTAAGCAAAAGAGCAATTTAAATTGAGGAATTTACAAGATGATGCGTGTATATATACATATATATCTAACAGCAAGAGTAATCTCTCAACCTCAGCACTGATGTAACCAAATACTTCCACCTGTATTATACCCATTTACTCACAAAACAGACAATCTCAGTAAGGAATATTGCCCTGTTTGGCAGTTCACATTAAGAAGCAAGCATGGAAACAAATCACTGAATTTTTGTACCATATATGCTGATGCAGGGTAGACTCTTCTGTTTCCTTAGTTTGAGCTACAACACCATCTAAAATTAAGAAATCCAGAAAGATATTTTATACTTATGTATACTACAGAAAGCAGATACTTCCAGAATACCCCAGTACCATCATAAAAAGAACTTGCTAGCAATCAAATTACTACTGCAAGATTGTATTTGGCATTTATATTGGGTACTTCCTATTTGGAAAGATTTAATAAAGTTAATAATGCAACTGAAAAGAATATTATAGTTGGTATGAGAAAATTAAAAAACGCATCAAAAAATGCAGTTTTCCAAGGTCAGGTAAAGGTTTCAAGACATTATTTATTTGAAACCTGAAACATGTCACTTTAGAAATTTACTAAGCATTTCAGGGATGAAACAATAATACTGATGTTACCATCACAGCTTGAAACATGGCAGTACAGTCACTCTACTACACCAGGAAAAAAAGCCTTCTATGATAAGCACACCAGGATCTTATTTGACTTCTGTTTGCTGAAACTTTTTAATCACTCGGCTTTCATTGCTCCAAACTCACATGCCAGCTGCTGCTAGATCATCCTCTGTCCCCCTTCTATGACTGACAAAGTCATGTTTTTAAGCTTCTACTGACTAAATATCACATCCTTGAGCATTAGATTAAAAAGGAAAAAAAAAAACCTCCCAGAGAACAATGCTGTTATTTACTTCATATTTCAAGATTTCAACCTCCTTAAGCCTTATGGCCTTTGACAGGAAAATGCTCAACCTCTCCACAGGAGAGATTTCCTGCTCACACATTCCATTCAGAGCCAAACAATTCTGAGTCTCTGAAGGACAAAATATTTCCCAAATAGTAATACAGCTATATTAACAGGGCTTACTCTTGCAGCATCTCCAGGCTGCTAACTACAAGGTATTGGTGGCTTATTGTAAACATTAGCTATATGGGGCTATTCTGTACACTCAGAGAAGTCTGCATTTGGTGAAGTGACTTTTAGGTTGACATTTAAGCAGTTAAATTTAATTAGGTTTTTAAAATTTTTGGAAATAATGAAAAGGTTTACCACACTGATGATCCCCAAAAGTAATTTTAGAAGAATTACAGTTTTCAGTAGAATTTTCATGCATTGACATGTTCTGTGGATTAGACACATTCTTTGGACCAGCTGTATCCTCCTTCATGCTTCTGAACACAGAAAAAGACATTTTTAAAAGAAAGGGTTTAAATATGTTTAATATTTAAAGGATTCTAAACCATAGTTGGAAATTCTTTTGAAGTTAAGTTTTAATTTCTAATATATACAAAAAATATAATAAAATGCACTTCTAGCAAACCGTAAATCTCACCACAGGGTTGCTGAACTTCAGTAACTCAGTAAGAAGCATTTATACAGAAATCCAAGTTAGGAGAACATTTAAAATTCTGGTGGTACCAGCATTTCCTTTGAATCACGAAAATCTATTTGCCTTACTGTGTGTGATAGACTTAGACAGGAAAATTATTCCCTTTCACAAAGAATTCCAGTAGGTCTGGGAGCTTTTTGGTTGTATTTCATTTTGACTTGGAAAAAGTAAAAATTTCAGAACACTCAAAGTTCTTCACCTATTACTAAGAGACCTCTGGTTTTCCAGCTGTACAGATACGGGTTTCACTAGCTGGACTCAACATTCAGGAAGCACTGCAACTACTTGAGAGCTCAGAGATAGGCACCACGACCCTCTATTCTGCAACAGCCTCGGAAGTCTCTGTCAGAATATTACTTAAAAGAACACAGCACTGCATAATATTGGAACAGTGAGTCATCTGTTCAATGGAAAAATACTTTCTTCCATTACCTCCAAACACCTAGTGGCATTAAGAGGACTGAAACCAGTCTAGTCAGCCATCACCTAATGTTTCAGTCTGCATAAATAAATACTAACTTTTAAATTAATTCATATTGTAGATTCACTATTAAATATCTGTGCAGTCATCTTTATTCAGAACTGACACAGCTTATCTTAATTACTTTGGAGGTAAATTAGTAAGATTAAAGTAATTTTAATCTTGACCGAGAGATACCTTTAACCACTTCCAACTTTAAAAAATGCTTATCAGCTTTTCTGAGTAATTTTGACTAAACAATTCTTTGAGGCTAGGTAAAATACAGCACAGCAAGTTCAACTTAGAGTATTTTTTAGAAACTATTTCTGAGCTATATACTTGAAGGAATCACACATTTTTTTTAAAAGGGTCTCCTATGATTTAATGAATAGCTTTGGAAAGCCAAAGTCTGAGAGAGTCTAATCTTACACTAAAGCACCCAAAGTTCTACAGAAATGTTTGATTACTCACACACCACACAGAAACCCTAAAACAGCCATCAGGCAAGAAGGTGCCTCACCAGGCTGGTAAGAGGCTGAAAACTGGGCAAATAAAGTTAGACAAAAGCCTTGTACGTGGAGTCCGCAATGAAGCACCCAAAATTGACACAACTAACATGTAACTGCATATTCTGCAACAAGTAGAAGATACTCCTGCCAAAAACCCCACTTATCAACCTAGGCCTAGTACCTCTCCAACTGTGGAAACACTTGCAATGAAAGACAGCCTGTGTTTCTCAAACACCATTAATCAGAAGTGACTGGAGTATTTGTCAAGTCTTCATGGGACAATATCCAAAGATCACGTAAAGAGACTGAAGGATCTACTGCTTTGACTGTGCATCTATTGAACAGTCAACAGGGTAGTAAATTAGAGAGCTGCCTATGCATTAGAGATGGGCCACGACCTCCTCCATTATCATAAAAAAAGTTTGGAGAGAAGGCCCAGAGACAGAATGGCTTTATTCATAAGTGATGGATACTGCTTATATCCACAGACCATGTCACCTTGGAGATGAAGATGTGAGCCATTTTCTTCCCAGGATAAAAATGTTTGTTAAGGCTATTAAAACCGAACTTGATCTTGCTGACAAGTGCTGTTTACAACATGCAAAATTGTGACTATGCCAAGCTTGCCTGAAAGGCTGCGCAGCCCACATATGGTAAGGTCCGCTGGTCTAGAAGACTTAATATCTGTGAGAGAAGTAGAACACCACTTTCATTCTGGTCACAGAGATAAGATCCTTGCACTGCATGTGACAAACTACATGCATTTAATTAACTGAAGAATCTTGTTGGCTTTGGAACTAAGAAGAGGGAGACTGAGGAACAATTACAGAGAGACCAGCACTCTCTAGCAAGGACGTATAATTGAAGTGAATGGCTGAGCCAAAAGAACAGAAAGCTTACCCACTATACTGAGCGCTGCTTGATAAACTAATGGGAGGGGATTTGGGCTGCTGATGTCAGGAGGAGTTCTGCAACATAGGCAATTCACCAAGTAGTTCAGAGAGAAATGACTGTTTTCAAAATAGCATGAAAAGAATTCTTTATCTTTGTGTTATTTTAGAAAATCTTTTACTGGGCAGAAGCATTCTTTGATGCAATTATCATGACCAGAGTAAAACAGGATGATGTAAGTATTACAGGTACCTGTTAAGTAATGAGCCATACTCACAGCCATGAAGGACAATTGGTAAGAGACTACCACACTGCACACACAAATCCTAGACAAAAACAGTAATACAGAATGCTTGTTGAACTAGCACAGATTAAGGGAAAGCAAAGTGATGTGCTACATCCTAAGAAGCATAAATTTCTTTTATAAAATTTAAATCTGCAGTGAAGCATCCGAAATCTGCATAATCAACATGTAACGATGCATTTCTATAAACAGGGAGAAGATATTCTTGCAAAAAACAGAAGTGGAGTTACTCAGTCAATTCCACCTTCGGGGAGCTCTTTCAGTCCCCTTTATTTAACTAGTACCTTACTAAAAAAGACTGCAGTCAGTTCTGAATATTTCAGCAGTAGTATCAGGCTTAGTGAATCTAGAAAGAGCAATCCATGCAGCTGCATTACAGATATTTGAGATGGAACTGTCGCACACAGCACCACAATCAAGTTGTCTGATCTCTGGCATTACATGCTCTGGTGACCATTAGGAAGTTACCAACCTTCCTGTTCAGTAACAGCATGAAAGAAGAAATAAATTCAAAAAAATCGTGCCTGAGGTAGCAGAAACCTCAAAGCCCGAGTCTCCTCCATAAGGAATAAAACCTGAAAAAAAGCCTTCCAAGCATCAACAGTGCAAACACTGTTCTCAAATACTGATTTTTAAGGTTGAACAAAATATGGGAAAAACCAAATCCTTTTGTTAAGATTAAACTCTGGTACAGTTCTAGATAGAAATGCAGGAACTTCAATTTAAGATGGAACTGGACTACGGAGGAGGTTAGGCTTCCTCATCTTGCTGACTGGCTAAGTCACAGAAACAGCAGCCTTTAACTTGCCCAACCCTAAGACAACACATTCAGTGCCCATGCTGGTATTCCAGGGATCTTTTTTTGTTTATGAAGCAGTATTTATTCCCTGAAAGAAAATATCTGAGATTTCCCTCTTCCTTGTAAATATTAAAAAAACTTCATTGGTCAGACAACAGCATTTAAATTATATTTTCAATGATGGCTCTCCAAACTGGAAAGCCATAAGTGGCTAAAGAAACTCCTGAACAAGGTGCCACACACAGGCCAGAACAAAAAAAGCTACAGATGTCTTGCTCATAAGCATTTTAAATTAAGGGTCCTAGGATCCAGGACAGACCACAATGAGATATGCCCTTTTACCACATACAGCATTTACTCAGTTCTAAAAGTTTACAAGGCAAGGAAAAAAAGCCACAACTGTACAGTGCTGTTACTGCAAAAACCATCATCTAGTCATACTCATTAGATGTATGACCCTAATCCTTTTAAAGTAAACTGTTTACCTTTTCCAGCTTGAACTCCGCAGTTGTACAAACACCAATAGTATGCTCTACTGTACTGACTGGTACTATGTACTGACTGGTAAGCATTCAAGAAAGCCACTGATCATAATAAAAGATAAGAGAATTTGAATTCAGACTACACAGTTTTATGATAAGCTTGACTATCTACATCAAATACTAGTTTAAAATTTTCTAGAATTGGTATTTTTCTTTCCATGATGGTTATGTGGCTAACGAATAGTTAAAGGAAAGCAGACATATCACAAACACTATTATCTCCGTGTTTAAATGAGAATCACATTCAGTAATATTAATAATGAAAAAATCCATTTAAAATTAAATAATAGAATTTTTTTCTTAGTAAAGTATATGCTGAAAAAAATGTGTAAACACTTACAAAGGCTCCAAGTTCTTTACATCATCTAATACTTTTATGTGTCCGCACAACCTCTGAAGTTGTGTTATATGTTCTGGATTATCAGTTCCCAGACCCGTAGACAAAATCTCAGATCGAATGTTGTATTCGTTGACCGACATCTTCAAATCTGAAAGCCTGGTAACCCGGACCTTGAATTATAAAACATACTAAATGGAAACCATAGTTCATAAATGGTCTCTCTCCCAACTCTAAGCCGTTCTTTAAATAAATTGGGGTGTTTAAAGTTTTACTTATACCTGTAAGCAATTCATTTTCTCTGATCCTCAAACAGGAGCCTAGCCATGTTTAATTGTTTTCAAAGTATCACCACCTTCTTTGTTGTGATAATGGCTCAAGTAACTAGTAGCTAGTTCCATTTAACAGAACCAAGATGCAATGAAGTAAACAATCCTAGCCTTGATTACACAAATTACAGCCAAAATCATAGCAAATCAAAACCACATAGCTAGAATAACTTCTAGACCCAAATAACAAAAAAACTGCTGGGGCAGGGAGGGGCGGTGGTGTGCATGGTAAAAAAACCCAAAACCTAAACAAAACCAAAAGCATAGAAATTGGAGAAAGGTTGAGATATACCATATGGGAAAGGAAGCTACTAATGAGAGTTACTTCCAGATCATTTCTCTTTCCACTTTGTTTTTCAGCTGACTGAACGATCAGATGGAAAACATAGCATGACACATTCCAAAACACAGGAATAACTGTACTTGTGGCAGGACCAAGCAGCCACAAGAGGCACATCACAATCCTGAGGTATAGGGAGGCCCTTCTGATGAACTTGTCCAGATCATAAAAAAACCCCACCAAAACAAAAACAACCCCCACAAACCCCTCAACTTGTGAGCTACCTTTGATAACAATTCTTCACAGAACTCCTTGCTCATAAAATGAAGTTATTTCTTAATAGACGTCATAAAAATGCAACTAGCTTGTTCATGCTGTTAGTAAAGGCTTAAAAGACACCTGATTTTTTGTCCTTTGATATAACTATCAGAATAGATTCCTGCCTTTCAAAAAAAATCTCCTTTCAAATAAAACACAGCCCTAAGGCAATCTCCTACCTGCAAAGTTTTGGGAGAACAGGAGAATACTTCGAGGAAACATCATCGCATGGATGACATACTCTAACTTTTCCCTAGCTACCCCCTTCCAGTCAGCACTACCAACAGGAATGCTTGGTCCCTGCCTTTCTTACAGGCCAGGGAAATGACAGAACAACAGAAATGTGGCACTGACTGCAACATTTTAATTTCAGGAAAACCTAAAAAAAAAAAATCAACTCAGAACACCAGTTATTAAAGCAATGTCATCACATGTCTGAGATTACTGCAATGAGAAGGTGCAAAAAAAAAATCTTACTAATCTGAAAGGTCAGAATGACAGCCTTCATACCCAACTGATGGTTACAGGTCCTCTTTTGAACGCTGACACAAGGAAATTCAGTTTATGAAGAAAAACGCACAACACTACACATTAACACTCTGCAAGACCGAGAAGTCTTCTAGATGTTAGCATAAGTAAAATTGTTAAAAAAAAAAAGTCCAAGACCAAGAGCACTCATTCTTCTTCTTCTGATCAAGAAACTAAGAGGAAAAAAAGCTTGAAAGTGTTTTTTAATTTGCAGAAAAATTTAGACTAAAACTAACTCTAAACTAGTGCAAGAACCATAAAAGACAACATATATAAATAAGTCTAGTATAAGAGATCTTAGGTATCATCAATCTTGGAGGATTAAAGTTTCATTCTTTCAGAGGAATGTGTGAGGAACTACTGAATTGATTTTACAAGACAAAGCCCTAAAAGCTAGTACTTCCAAAATATACTTTTGTTATGAACTTTGCGGAATAGTCTGGATTACATTTATAATTAATTTGGTGCTCTGTTACTGGGGCATATTCAGCTCTCCAGATTTAAAGTTCAAGTCTTAGTCATGTATTCCACCTATATACAAGTATATATATATACACACAAACACACACAAGATATATATATATATGTATATATATGTATATATACACAAGAAAGATATATCACAGAACAATTGAGGTTGGAAGGGACCTCTACAGGTCATCTTGTTCAACCCCCTTGCTCAAGCAGGGTCACCTAGAGTCAGCTGCCCAGGACCATGTCCTGATTACTTCCGAGTATCTCTCAGGATGGAGACTCTACAGCCTCTGAGCAACCTGTTGCAGTACTCGGACAGCATCACAGTAAAATAACCAACAGTACTATGTGAATACCATGTAAAATTAAATTAAAATAGGAATGGACAAAAGGAAAGAGAAGAATGGGTGCTCTTGTTGTAAAGGAGTTTAGATACAAATATTTTGTAATGCTAAATTCTATACCTACCATGGGGTCAACCCAAGCTGTATTTCCCAAGGTATGTACTATTTTTGCTTCATGTAGTTTTCCTTTAATTTTGTTATGAATATAATGAGTTACCTAGGGAAAACAAGTTTTCACTGCACTTGATATGTATACCAACATAACTTTACAGTTATTTTAATTATAATGAAACAATCTCCTGATCTTAACAATGAAAAGGGTATTCAATAAATAAAACCAGTTTTGACTAAACTAGTGAAATACTCCAACTTTACTGTAGGATAAAATAGTATTAGCCTTTAAGGAAGGAGCTTCCTTAATGGAAGAATACTCAAACACAGGTCAATTTACAAAGGTTAACCTTCCCCTGTTACTCCCCACAGATTCAAAAGCAGCAATAACTTTTTCTTGAAGAAGCCATTTAAATCAGAGAAGAAAATCCCATAAATTTCACTTTATTATTTTGTATGAAAACAAGAAACCTGACTTCTTAGAACTTGGCCCAATAGCAGATATTTATTGGTATTACTAATAATCAATGAAATTTGATTACTCAGTTTGCAGTTCATAACTGTCATCTTGTAGAAAATAACACACAGAGAGAAATTCAAGAACATAAAGGAAATACCATGTGAAACCTGGTAGATATTACCTTTGGGTTCCATTCAATTTCATTATCAATGGGTTTCACTCTACAAACTATAAATTCCACAGCCTGAGGTGGCAGACACTGAAACTCTGCAGGTAAGTGAAGCAGCTGATAGCTCTGAACTTGACTTGTTCTGCCTTCATCTATGTATTTAATTTTGACGTTAAAGAACAAATTTTCCTCCTCTTTTGGGGAAATCTCTAGTACCTGAACCCTTCATGCAGTAGGAGGAGAAACACAGAATTATTATTCATATAATCAGTTGTAAGAAGTTGTTTTTTTTTTTTTTCTTTAAACAAGAGTAGATTAAAAAAGGTATTTTCATAGCAAAATATCAATCTGTGTGTGTGCATGTGGGTAGTCATTCTGTTTTCCATTTGGTAACTTAAAGAGAGTATGTGATAGCTTTTTAAAGAATGATTGGAAAAGCAGGGATTTTTTTGCTGTTTTTGGGGGCGGGTTGACTTTTTTAACTAAACAGTGAAAGTTTTAAATTACTTTGCATTAAAAAGTGCACATGAATAATATAAAAACCCCAATATTTTTACCTGTGAAAAAGTGTTTTCTCACATAATCCATAAAACGCCAGCTTCTCCACGTTTTTAACAGAAATTTTATTGCTAGGTTTCTTAAAATACTCATTAATTTCTTCAGCAAGAATTGTATACTGGTCCTTTTGTTTATCTACTATTCGACCAAAGTAGTTTGTTGCATTTACAATGTGGAGAGGCAGTATCTGAAAGCATAAAGTACATTAGAAAAAAGGAGGACCGGATGATTTCTTAAACTAATGAAATATAAGTTTTCAAATTCAAGATCACCTCCCTCTTTCCAGCCCAAAGAGGTAACAGATGCTGCTGCTTACACACATTTCAGAAGATTATGAGTTGTTATATTGTTCATAATCTTATGAATAATACTAACCGCCCATTGTCCAGTTAACAGTGGACAGAAATTTATAGAGCAAGAACTGTTAGGTCTCAGTTGGTGGTATTCCACTGAAATGAACAGTGAACTATACTATTACCTGCCAAGCCACTAACCACTAAGACATTTCACACCATTCGTGTTCTCCAACTTACAGCAAATTTTAGAAGAACTGACTGGGGAAACACAAGGCCTTCACTCTTTTTGCACTCAAATTACTTAAATGAAAAACTATGAATACACTACTATCAACACCAATGCATAAAGTACTGGGTCCATTCCATCCAAAGGGTCATGCCAGGCACAAATACTAAGATACAGCTGCGTGTATGAGGCCAGATGTGGTAGTAAGAGGACCAGAAAGGTAATTTCCACTTAAAAAAAAAATCCTAAAAAAGCACAATACAACTTGAGGTACTTAAAGGAAGGAAACATTAGACTGGGTTCCAAACAAAAAACAGAAAGTGAATACTTAAAGTGGTAACTGATTTGTAGGACAGACACCCAGGCTCTGCAGTCAGCAGAAGTAGATGAGGAAATCTAAGAGGCCACAACCGCTGTCTTGAGTGCACCCCAGGTAACTGCAAGTTTCTAACAAGAGTGTCATGAAATCTGTCCACTAAATCCAGCAAATCCATCCAGCATCAACACCAGATACATGTAAGGTTGTCAAAAGGTTTGAACTCATACCTACCAACAAAAGCTTATTTATTAGGCAGAAATGGAGTAACACCAAAGAATCCACCCAGTTCTCCTTATTTTCTATTCTGACAACCTATGACTCTTGGGAATGGATAACACCCATTAAATGCATGACCTGAAGGCACCTGAATTCTGCAAAAGACAGGACAGGAAGAAGGCAGAAGCAGCTCATCTGAATGTAAGGCATCCAGCACTTCTTAGACCTAAGTGCTAACTTTGGAAGGAAGCACCAACATCTAAACACTTGCCCCCAGCAATCATCGTCCAGCAAGGAGACAAGACAGACTGTACAATACTGCTGTACAGGAAGACACTCCAGTATAGAAGAGACTGAAAAGCCAGGTGAAGAGAGCTGGAGATACAAACTGTTACTGGGATGTGAAGAAACACCATAGCAAAGTCAACTCAATAACCATGAATGTTTCATGATTGTGAAACTATTAAAAAAAATCCATTTAGAACAGCATTCTATATCACAATGGTTTTCAAAAAGCACTGACATCTTAGAGTAGGACATAACTGTTCCATCTAGAAGATAAGGGAACAGCTGTATCCCATTTTCTGTGGATACTGCAAATGAAAATACTAGTTTCAAATGACAAGGCAAGAATATGCTCATTTTTCAGCAAGTCAGAACACGTCAGCTAAGAAAAAATCCTCACTTCCAACAAAACATGCGTCATCTTCCGCTTCAACTTCTCTTCACTCCAAAAGATTAATTTATGTTTCCTCTACAATAAATATAATTAAAGTTTACAGGAACTTTAACCTTTGTTAATTTTGGTATATGGTCTCAATTTATAGAGGGAAGGAATAAACAGAACCTAAGCCCTCTTCCCATGGAACAGGAATCTTCAGTGCAGAAGACAATCTCAGGCAAACTCAGAATCACCTGCAAAACAATTTCAGTTCAAGCTAAGGATTAAGGGAAAAATCTGGCACACTTATTTATGCAAGGGAGAGAGGAAAAAAGCTAAAAACTAACAAATATCCAAGAGATATAGTATGCATACTACAGTAATATTTATGTAACACAAAAAATAAGTAATATGCTAAGTAGCTATTTAAGACCCGTCTTATTGTTACCCAAAACCAAGGTAAATAATAACAACTTACTGTCACACATCCAGGCGTTTGTATAATTTTATCTGGTATATTCTGGCACACATCTATTTGTAGATTAATTTGATGACGATCTGGACACACTGTTCTACTCCTACACATCAAGAAAACAGTTTTAGAAGACAGCTCTTTGTTTTCAGTTGTAAACTATTTAGATGCGACTTAAAACAGCTTTAAGCACTAAAATTTCATCAGCCATCAATATTCAATCTCTGTCTCAAATAGCACCAATGACTCTGGGGGTTAGACAGAAATGGCCAAAAAGCTCCTGGTGGAAAAGTTTGTACAACAAAACAAAACACACCAGAAAACTTGTTTCAGAGTAAAACAAACACTAACATTGAATTTTTTGTTACTTGCAACAAGTTATCTACTCTAGAAGTCATACCTGAGAATACTTTAGCTTTCTCCTTCAAGCACTACTTACAATCCAGTTACACAGAGCTCAGAGAAGTCATCATCTACCTACCCACTCTGGAGGAAAGGAGACGACAGGGGAGAGAGTAAAGCACAAGCCTTGTGCAATTATAGTTAGAATGCTAATCAAAACAATGGCTTAAAGTTCCCTCAAGTACATCTGTGTAGGAGTTAATAAAGAATTATGCTACTATGTCAGATTGTGTTTTCATGAAAGTACCTAAGAATAGTGAAACAGATGCAACATTGAGCAAAAAAAACCAAAACCAAAAAACCATGATCAAAACCTGGTTTGAATAAAAGTATCCAACAGGAAAATTCATTAAGGGTAGAAGCAGTCATTCAGGGCATATAATGCCTTCCTGTGTTAGTACAGGTGTCAAGAAAACTTGGTATTTCCTTACTTGCAAGTCCCAAACGTTTTAAGATAGGCACACAGTGGCCTTGAAAATTTCTTATCTTCCTCAGCTTCTAGCATCTTGGCCATAAAATCATGCAGTTCTGGTGGAATTTCAGCTTCTGCATGCTGCAAATAGTGCAGGATCCCAAGTGCATGACATGTATTGTTGTTTTCTGTTAGGAGAATGACTGACCTTGCCTTTGTATATTGCTGATCTACAGAAGAATCCTAAAGAAAAAAAAATATTTTTTTTTAAAAGCTTTTATGTATCCACCACTTAATAACCAAATGTAGTATTAACCTGTTAAAGATTTACTCAAACCTTTATCACATTACAGAAGTTGTCAGACATGCTGTGTAGACGTTGACCAAAGATTCTTGGAGAAGGAAAACTGAAGTGTATCACGCAAGTTGCATCTGTAATTCTCAAAGACTGCATGCAGTCATCTGTTAAAACTAAGCACATGTTTTATACACACGTAAGATAACTGTAATACTTCAAGCACGTGAAGTATTACATCACATTAGCAATGGCTGTTTCCTTCTCCCCATCCATTAACTTAAGAATGAAGAAAAAGGTCTTTTCCCAGTACACTTACATAAGACATTGTATTTCTTCAGTCAATATGCTTCATAAGTGTATGGTAGAAACAGCATTTCATGTTAGTCTCTAATTGTCTAGCATAATTCTATATCTCATATCAGCATCATGGAATAAAAAGAATTGCCCACAGCCAAGAGCTTCACAACAGTAAGACAGAAACCACTTCAAGTAATGCAGGAATGCTAACACCTTTGTATTAACCTACAAAGCAGAAGTACTTTAGTCAATCTTCTTGCTTTTGACATAGAAAATGGAAAAAATTAAGTTTGAAAATGGGTAAGACTCTTTGCTACTGCAAATAACTCGAAAAATAAAAATTCTACCAGAATGTAAGGGAAATGATTACAATAAGTCTTTGGAGTTTCTAAATTATTTCAAACTGAAAATATCTTCTGTAGTAGGAGAGAATTGTGAAATTACAGAAATTCTCTGAAAGTACTAGTAGTTCTTTTAACTAATGCATCAAAAAAATGCCAAACCTCCTTTATGTTCCCTCTAATAAGTAAGGTTTTTCCTCGCAGCAGTTAACCCTGGGACCCATGAACAACAACAACAAAAGACTAGCTGTAGCACTAAGTAAAGGGATAACCAGAAAGAATTCATAAAGAACTGACCCTGTGGAAGTGACAACATAACCTAGTGTAAGTATTTAGCGTAGAACATGAGTCACCAAGAAGACATAATCACAAGCAGACAAAGAGAAAATACTCACCTAAGACAACATGAGTGCCAGAACTATACTTTTTTGTCCATTGCTCTATGATATACTTGAGACTACACTCACTCTTTTCATGTATTTTCAAGGAAAATATTGAATTGCTCTTCAGTACCTGCATGACAAAGTTATATGTTCTTCCAATACAGCAACAACTGCTCTAATAAGATATACTATTTAGTAGAGTTTATTAGTATCACCATATCTTAGCTACTGTCAAAGGAGCCAAGGGAAGGAGTTAATGAAATTTAGGTTGCTTACATATATATATTAAAAAAAAAAGAAAAGATAGAGACTATGGAGATTAAGCTTATTAATTTCCCATATAAAAAGAAAGCTAATAAAGCTCAGGCTCCTGTGAATTAATACATTAAACCAATGTTTAAGAAAGTACACATTCCACTTGAAGCTTTCCCCCATGATTAAGGTGTCCCCTCTATTTCAAGCAGATTCTATCATCTAACAACATGCAGGCTCACATTTCAGTCTCTCAGAAAAAGCACTAAAACCCCCTCACTGATCTACCCATACTTAACTTGCACGAATGTAGTATTCTCAAAAGGCTTTATGTATTTGCCAAATTCAATGTTCACAGATTAATCACTACAAAACCCTTGGTTATTTGGTAAACTGGCACATCTAATGAAATAAGTTAACACTTAAAAATATTTTTGTAGACCATTTAAGATATTTGAAGTTGGTGTACACAAGGATTACTATAAACACCCTCAATACTTCTTTAGCATCAATACTCTTTAACTGGTGGTGGGGTTGGTTGTGATATGCTTGAAGAAATTAACCCTCAAATATTAAAGGAAAACATGTTAGAAAGTCACGAGACAAAACCGGATTTGCTTCCATTAACAATCATCAAAGATTAAACATTCCAGACACACTAACATTTACATAAGAAGAATACTTTAAACATCACAGGATCTATTCCAGCTTCTGGAAGGGAATACATTCCTACGTTTCAGGACTGACATATCTCTTCCTATGACATCTGAACAATCCAGCCACATATCCTCTTGCTATCCCATCCTTGAAGCTATTGCTGAAGGTTTTAATTCTAATATCCTCATAGCTTGCCTCCTTTAGCAGCATCATCCCCATCACCCTATCCAAGGTTAACAGAACTGCTTCCCAGTCAAATCAGATTGCACTCCTCTTACTTCACACTGTTGGAGGACCAGCAAAGAGACAATGAAAATACAGTTGAGATTTCTCTATTGCTGTGTTGTTACATATATTCATTGCTATAATATCTGAAGAAAGAACTACTGCAGGAAAACTCCTCCTTAGTCTCTACCTCTGAAATGCTGAGTATACAATTCCACAAAAAATGTGGGAGGAGCACATTCTATTGCAGGTAACTTTGAAGCAGCTTTATGCCAGTTTTTAAGAAAATACATATTAAGCATGCTATCATCCCTCCATGTCTTACGACTTGAAGCCTAACTAAATTCTAACAGACTTTCACAGGATGACAGAAAATGTTTCTTTCACATCAGAGAAATGACCTTTTACAATTTCAACTAGTCCAGACTACAAAGCAACAGAATAGAACTTCTTAACCCAGTGGCTTAAGTTTTCTCCCCCCATACCACTCCTGGAAATTGTAAAAAATAATATAAAAAAACCGAGTTTGATTCAACTTAAAGTTCCAATCTGACACACAGAACATACTTAAGAATTTAGTAATGAATGCATTCTATGCCAGACATTCCTGTCACTTAGGCTTATCTTCTAGTTGGCAGAAGGGCAGGATTAGGGCTACTTTTAGCAGAAATAATTAACTTCCAAATTCATGCTTCTCCTTTACTCTCAGAAGCCAAGATATTTCAGTTTGTTATACTTTAATGATTAAAAAAGCACTTATCTATGTAAATTTAAATACTTTCTTACCTTATGAATCATTTCTACTTCATTTACTGAATTAGTGAATACCAGCACCTTCTGAAGATTATTGTGGGTAAAATCCAGTATTTTAAGTAACACAGCAGTTCTCTCACTGTTCATGCAAGGCTGCACGACCTAGAAGCAGATACAAAAGAGGGCTGATAATTCACATAATCTATACACATTTCACTATTGTCATGTTTTAACCCCAGCCAGCAACTAAGCCCCACGCAGCTGCTCATGCCCTGCCCCCACCCCGCCATGGGATGAGGGAGAGAATCAGGAAAAAAAAGTAAAACTCATGGGTTGAGATAAAAACAATTTAATAGGACAAAAAAGGAAGGGAAAATAAAATAATAATAGAATATATAAAACAAGTGATGCACAATACAACTGTTCACCACCCACTGACTGATGCCTAGCCAATCCCCCAGCCATGGTACCCCCTCCCCCCCCAACTCCCCCCAGTTTATATACTGGGCAGGGCATGACATAACATGATATGGAATACCCCTTTGGCTCATTCGGGTCAGCTGTCCTGGCTGTGTCCCCTCCCAGCTTCTTGTGCACTCCCAGCCTCCACTGGCAGGACAGGATGAAAAGCTGAAAAGTCCTTGACTTAATATAAACACTGCTTAGCAACAACTAAAACATCAGCGTGTTACCAAAATTTTTCTCATCCAAAATCCAAAACACAGCACTATACCAGCTGCTAAGAAGAAAATTAACTTTGTTCCAGCTGAAACCAGGACAACTATAAAATTCTTCTTTTAGTAAGCACTAAGCATTGCTATATAATACCAAAGAGAATTCAGTAAATGGTGGCTCGAGTAAGTGGTAGGTCTTCTGTTAAACTTACAAAAGATACAACTCGCACAAAAGGTATGCATTTAGGACAGCTCCCAGAAGCATAATTAAAAATCCATCACAATGAAAATCCCACATTGAGATTTTTCATTCATTTAACTTTAGGTGATTTATCAATCTTTAAGCTTGGCATTTTCAAGTACCTCTAAAAAAGCTTTGCACTCCAAAAGCATACTGCACCACCTGAAATACCCTGAATAACTAAAGCCATCAAAACACTGACATGTTCAGTCCTGTCAAACTATTAATTAGACTTCTTACAGAAAGTGGTGTTTTTTCAGTTTCATGCCATGCTCAGAATGTCCGGTATTAGAGACTTCCCAACATTCTCAATCCCCAAGTTGTTACAGTTTGAGACACAGAAGAATTAATTCATATGTACAACATTTTGTATTGTTCTTAAGGGCTATACTACATTGACTGGAAATTAAATGAGAAGACACCTAAGAACACACAGTAACTTTCTGGAAATTTTAGGCCAAATTAAGTTCTGCATTGTGTGGTACACAGCAGTAAAACAAGTATTTTACTAGCTCTACCTTGGGACAACTTACCTTGTAGTTCTGCCATTCACAATTAACAGTTGCAAAAATATTCTGATAAAATTCTGGTCACAAACTGTACCATTTGCAAATACTTCATATAATTCAGATTAATTTGTACTAACAATGAAATACTTGAGGGAATGTCTTCACCTCAGTCCTACAAAGCAAGGTAAAAGACCTTCAGCTTGTTCAGTGATTAACTTGTACAGGTCTTCTATGAGTCACCTCAGTTCATACATGGGAGGTACACCTGGACAGTCTGAGTTGCCCACTTAAAAAAAACCAATAAGCTTACACTGACCTTGATCAGTACAAACAGCAAAATACCTTAGTAAATAAAGAGTGACATCATACCCAAATTGTTACCTGTTGCACATTTCCATAGATGGAAGCTTCTTCCATAGCTGTTATCACAATGTAAGGATCATTCATGAACTCCTTTATCAGGCGTGGTATATGCTTATTCCAACGAGTTCCAACAGCAATAATCTGATGTGGTGAATACTCCCACTCTTCAGTAATAATGGCTTTCTTGTAACAATCTAATATAGTAAAAACCTATAGAGAAAAAAAATGTTTCTATCCTCTTATCCTATTCCAGCAAGTATGTACAGCAGTGAAAAGTACACTGTTTCAGCACACTTTTTTCCAGTGGCAAAACCACCACCACAGCAAAACACAAATTTCAAATCCCCACATGAAGTGTTTGGTTCTTGCACTTTTATCCTATTATCTGAATGACTTCTGAAGCAAGAAGAAAGAGACAGGACAGCATGAAGGAATGGCACGTGCAGGCACACAGGATCATTAACACAGGATTCTGCCCAGAGAAGATGGAAATCTCAGGAAAAGGATCTGTTCAAATCTGAAAAATACTGAGCCTAGGCAAAAGTAGATCCAAGAGGTCAGAGGCAGTCAGCAAAAACTAGGAGGTAAGCTGAAGATAAGCTCAACCTGCCAATACAATAATTTGCCAAAAAAACCCCAAAAAACAAAAACCAAGGGTGTGTGTGCGCACCATGACATCATTTATTAAAAAATTAAAAATTACTAAAAATAAATATATTCCTGATGACATCACCTTACCTAAGTTACAAGCAGTCCAGCTGTGGAACATCGGGATTTCTGGCAAAGCACTACCATACTAATAAGTATTCCAGGGTTCTGGCACAATTCTGAAAGATCTCTCAACCTGGCACTAAACTTACCCACAACAGCAATGTTTTTAGGAATATAACATTTCTGTAACACAATGCTTTAGAAGAGCTGCGACAATCCAAACATTACCAAATGATCACTCCAATCTGAAAGAGCCTCTCTTCTCCTTTCTGTTCAAGACTGACATTTCTGAGAAGCTGAGAAGACCCTACAAAAACAGCAGATACATGCACAAACTACCTTTCCCACAATCTTCATATAGTATACCTGCACTCCAGCTCAAGTAGTACAGGAACACAACAGAAAGAACAGCCTAAACAGAAAGAAAAAATGCCCCACTGGATGACATTTCATCTAATTTTATACTTGAGATTTGCTGCTACAAAGACACATTTAACAGCTTCACATAGAGCAAAATTGGTAATCTATCTCCATTAAGATGTTTCTGTAGCTTTTCAGTAAGAAACACAGCCCTTTAGTCTTATCACCAACTTTTAAACAGGTAATAAGTTAATGATTTTAAAAAAATCTATGACCGTGAAAAAGGTAAGCTGTTTTTTGCATATTGACAACATAATATGCTACAATATAAGAAAGCATGTCCTATGAAGCATCAAAGCAGCAGCAAAAAAACATAAGGAATTTTCTCAAACTTAAGTCATCATTTTAAAACTGATAAAATCCTTGTCAACATGAAACTTAATGCTGTTCCTCTTCCAAGATTCTGAGTTGGAATCAGCTTCTCCTTTTGCCTGTACTGTCATTAAGGCCCAAGGAAAGTTTTTATGATTGCTTCCAAGACTATTTGATCATTCACTTCTGCCTTTCATTCTACAGAGACCGAGGAACCTACCAATAAAGATAGCTCTTGAACTGAAGTTGTTCAAACAGCACTGGTAGAAGGGAAAAGGAAGTTCCTTACAGTCAGGTGATGCAAATCTTAAAAGTAGATTAAAGATCCCTACACTGAAACTACTGCTACCAAGTTAAAAAAAAAACCAAAACCAAAAGTCCTTGGGAATCCTTCCACAGCAAAGGAAGACAGCATAATGGAGCAGTAGCATAGAACAGGACAAGACACAGCTCTCCCCACTTTTCCAGTGTTTCATTCTGCCGGAAGTATACAGATGAGATTTTTTTAATCCCATTTTCTCCTGAACTCTACCACAGGGATTCAAGAAGGTTGGTTTTTTTCCATTATGTGCCCCACTGTTTAAGACACGTGCACAACTGGAAAGCACTTTACCAGCTGAATGTATAAGCCATTTACCTGTTCAATAGCATCAGAGAACAGTACCTCAATCTCATCAAGAACAAGATGGCAAAGTCTACAAAATAATAAACTGTGATGTTCAAACAGTCTCAGGAGACTATACGGTGTAGTCACGATGACTTCGCCTACAAGTAGGAAGAAAAGACTGTTAACATTAGCTTACAACTTAAAAGAATATTAGTAAGACACCATAGGACATGGTAGCTTTATTAAAAAGGCCACATATGCATTTCAGATACATCATCTTGAAGTTTGGGGGGGGCTTGTTGGTTTTGGGTTTTTTTTTTTTTTTTTTTTTTTAATAGAGAGCTCTGAACTCTTTTCTGACTTCTGGTCAACAGTCATTTTTAGTTTGCTTACATTTTTCTACCCCTGCATGTCTTCAAGACTTGAGTGGGTAAAACTCAGTTTTTGAAGAAGTGAAAGATCTGAACGTTAGCAAGTCCACAAAGCAGGATACCATTTCATTTTCCAATAAAGGAATGGAAGTAGAGATAAGAACTTCAGAACCAGACAGACACACAGTAAATATTTAAATACATGCAAGAGCAGCCTTTAGCAAAGCTCAGTTTTAAAAATGGAATAAAGCACATATCGTGGCTTAGATATCTGCACATATATATATACACACACACATATATGCGCATATATATATATATAAAAGCAAAAACACAACAATCTTAATCTGTGCAAATTTACCAACAGCTCTACTCATAAAAGATCTGAATTCATCCACCAGGCTCTTAAATTTGAATGATGGATTTAAGAATGCAAACTGCTGAAACTGAAAGTTTTACACAATCCTTCATAGTTTTATCTATATTTCTTGTTTCCCTGGCAAAAAGAGCCACTTTAAAAATGCAGTTATGAATCAAGGCTTAACAAAAAGACCAAACAACACCCGTAAAACTAAGTGCTTTAAGTAAATACACTTAAGCAGGGCAAGTCTCCCAGCAGCTCTGTTACTACTTCTATGCTTCCTCCTCTCTACAGAGTATCCTCTGTGTACTACTGAAGTTATATGCACAAATTACTATTTATTGCAATAAGCAAGTTGGATACTACCATTTAAAAAAAAAACAAACAAACTTCAAACTTATATTTAAGGTGGACATTTATGCAACTTTGTCTGCAGAGAACTATTACCTCCTTTTTAATCCTTCACTTCTCCAATATTCTTTTTAAATTAAGAGTAGAGAAGAATCATGTTATGTGTATATAAACAATAAAGCAGCATCAGACAGTCGCCCAAATATTTGTCAATTTAAAAAAATAAAATCCATGTACTTGAAATACTTGTGTATTTGTTAAAAACATTTTTTAAGAACATACACATATGCCTTACTGTGGTGGGCTGACCATGGCCAGCAACTAAAGGCACAGATGCTTACTCACTGCCCCCAACCCCAGTGGGACAGAGGAGAGAACAGAACTGCCAAAGTGAGAAAACTCATGGGTCGAGATAAAGACAGCAGAATAAGCGAAGGAGGGAGTTGGGGGGAAGCGTGCAAAGGCAACCACTGACAACATCCCAGAAGCAGACAGATGCCCAGCCACTCATTAGATCACTCCCACCCCTCAAGCTTTTATTGCTGAGCATGACATTATACAGTATCGCATATCACTTTGGTCAGTTTGGGTTAGCTGTGCAGGCTGCATCCCCTCCCAGCTTCTTGCCCAACCCTGGCTTACTCACTGGGTGGCAGACCGGGAAGAACAGAATTCTTGATGCTGTGCAAGCATTGCTCAGCAAGAGCCAAAATACTGGTGTGTTATCCACACTGTTCCAGTTACAAATCCAAAACACACCACCATACAGACTAGGAAGAGAATTAACTCCATCCCTGACAGACTCAGTACCTCTGTCCAGCAATGGATGCTCATATATCAAAAAAGGCTATCATAAAATCTGGTTTTAAATCAAGGAAGTCCACCATTAATTCTAATTCAGCCCAATGTTCAGCAAATCCCTCTACTAATTTGGCTCAAAAATAATTGTTATGAAGCTTACAAAAAAGATGCTGAACATATACATATTCAAACAGCTTTAATACCATTTACCGTTAAATAGCACTGCTGAAGCTTCATGTGTTACTACAGAGTTATAGCATTAAAGAAATATAATTATCACTTTATAGAACAAAAAACATAGGTATAAATTGCTTTCGTGATTTCCTGCAATTAAGGCAGCCCACAGTTTTCAAGCAACTAAAAAGACAGAAAGTGTTCTTACATCCTCGTATTTTCACACTTCTAGCTTCTTCTTTGTTCTGCCCCAGTATTATCAGCATTGGATGAAGCTGTCTGGAACATCTCTCGTATGTTTTCAGTAGGTCAAAAACAAGATGTGCCTTCTTCCACCCAGGACATAAAATAAGTGCTAGCGGCTACATACATATGTACAAAATTTTACACCACAGTATTAGACAAGAATTCAGAATCTTAAGAATTGTACTACTGCAGCATTTAGGGCAAAAACAAAATCTGCAACACAAGCCTTTAAGTACTTCAAAACTGAAGCTTTTAATACTATATCACCTCCTAAATGCAGATGTTAAAGACCCAAGGAACCACACACCAGGTTAACTGGAGACAAAAAGGATGCATGCAGCAACATACAGTAAAATGTCCAAAAATTTAACAGAAGCAGGAGCACCTTGTCTTACTTGGGGTTGTACTAGGCAATTTCCAGAGGCCCCTTACAACCTCAATAATTCTATGTTTCTGTGATCTAATACAAGTTAGAAAATTAATTACGATATTTAAAACAGCTAATACAAATTTTAATTTAATGACTACATACTATCCCCTTAAAAACAAAGCTTCATTATCATAGTGATACGACATTAACCACTTGTTAGATATTACTTGATAAATAAGTTTTAGACTCCCACATTCATGCAGTCCATCTCTGTAAGCCTCTAAGCAGAGGGCTTATATAAACTGGCAAGCATCATGATGATACACTAAGATCACTTTAAACATATACATTCTAAACACCCACTACCTTTTGGATCATTATTCTACATCTGCACTTCAGAACAGAAAAGGTGCTACTACTCTAATATATACATACTCCATTCCTGTTTGGCAAGGATTTGTAGCAACTTCCTGACTGCAAAAATGTAAGGACTGGTGGAATATATAAGAAAGGATCATTTCCCTGATACGATATGGCAACTACATCACATCCTCGAGCTACTGGAGGCCAACAGTAAGATTCTGTGAAGTTAGGGCCTAAAAATTTTTTCCGAGTAAGTTCCTAGAGAAAGAGAAATTAAGAGTTCCACATGAAAACAGTGTAGTTGAGCAGTAACAAAACACGACAAAACATAATACTGAGTAATTTTAAAAGCTTTTGATGTACTACAAAATAAATGTCCTTAACATGCAATATGAAAAAAGTTCTTCTGTGCTGAGGAGTTAAAATTATTATATTAAAATTCAAATCCCATGACTTGGGCCAGTGGTTGACATACCAGAAGAAACATGTACAATTCTTACAGCAGCTCTCTGAAGATTCATTTGTTCAGCCACAGGAACAACCTCCTAGACATTCCCCAATCAAAATCAGGTATTACTATAATGTTTAGTATCTAAAGTTGGGGTATGATACTAGCCTTAAAAAGATATTTAGTGTAATATATTACATAAGCATTACCTTTTTCAGACCATCAAAAAGTGGTGCTGTTTCCAGAATTGAGGATGGCTCAATTTTGTTGCTAAGACAGACAAAGTTTCTTTCTTCACTAAGATTTTGAAAACTCTGAAACCACATGACAAATAGATGACAAAGCTAATGCTTAATAAAAGGGGTTTAGCTTACATACGACTCAAAAGCACTTATTGTACTTAAAAAATAGTATTTTGATGAAAAATAGCCAAAGAAATTGTAAATACATTTTAAATGTGACTCATACATACTGATAAGTTACACAAACCAGTGGTGAGACAAATACTCAGTATTTCTTAAAGAAAGATTTATCAAGATTGTCTTAACACAACTGTCTTAAACCACTCAAAGAGAATGCACTACATGTTCTGCATACAGCTAGCACTCAGCTATAACAAAATCAAAATACAATTAAAAAATATGACTAGCAAAATTTGCCATGGTGGTTGGCCTTGGCTCACAGCCAAGCACCCATACAGCCACTTGCTCACTCCCCCTCCCCCTCCAGAGGGATGGGGGAGAATAACAAGGAGAGTGAGCAAGAAGATTCATGGGTCAAGATAGAGACAGGGTGGTTACTCAACAATTACTGATGCAGGCAAATCAGACTCAACTTTAGGTTAACTTAATTTGTTGCCAAATAATATGTATGAGTACTGATTTGGTTACTGGGAAACAAAAACAAAGAAACAAACATTTACATGCTTCAGAAAAACACCTTTCCTCCCCCATTCCCAGGCTCAACTTCACTCCAAGCTCCTCTCCTCTCCCCTTATAATCAATGCAGGCTACACTTGGTCCCACCACTAAGGCAACGAGCAGCACAAGGCAGGGATTGCAGTCAGAACACAGCAGTTTCTCTGTTGCTCCTTCCCTCTTACTTCTTTCCTCTACTCCAGTGTGCATCCTCCAGATTGCAGTCCCTTCAGGTACACCTGCTGTGGCATGGAGCACCTCCTGCTCCTCTGACCTTGGCACTGCCTCTGTTTCTCTTTTTTTTTTTTTTTTTTGGTTTTGTTCCCTCCCCTGCATTTTTAGCCCTTTCTTAAATATATTTTCACAGAGATACCACCAACTTGGTTGGTTCAGCTTTGGCGTGCAGTGGGTCTTGTTGCTGATGCAGCTGGAATCAGCCCGACCTCCTTCCACAAAGACAACTCCTGCAGCCCCAACACTACCAGAACCTTCCACATACACACGATACATTCGCACAAGAGAAGTTAAATGAAAGTTAATGCTTGAAATACCTGTTGGTCATCTTCAATTATGTGTGTCTTCAGAGGATCACAATTTAAGAACTGCTGAAGCCTGAGAAACAAATATTACATCCAACATAAATGCAAAAGTAAAACGTAATTTATAAATACCACCAATATTTCTAAAGTGTCATGAATCAATTCACTCACAAAATATTTCTGACGTATTACCTATGCCAAGGAGGAAAATCCTTGGCCATGAAAGAAAAAATAAAAATTTTATTTTGAAAATAAAATCTACTCTTAGCTTTTAAGTATCTTAAAATAATCCCAAGGAAAATTTTTTAAGAAAGATAATTGGTAGGTTCCTCAACTTTAGAAGAAAATCAGACTGGACTGGAGGAAAAAGGTTCCTTAAAGTTTCAAAAAATGAAACAATGTATCTTTGCATCAAAAACTGAATAAAAGAAACACTCCTTGGGTTTATTACATATGCATCAACTGACAAGCAGCATAGTAAAAGCATTGCACAAATCAATTTATAGCCGTATTTCATGAAGTTTGAAAACTTTATAAATCACACTAAGAATAAAATAAAGCAACTTAACATGTTTAGTGTGCAGAAAAAAATGCTTCCCCATTACATCACTGCTGTCAAGCTATTGTTTAGAAAGAACTGCTGTTTTTATTGTAGTCTGGGTAAATATCAGCAGCTTCAAATTCCCTTTTTCTCCAAAAGCATGTGTATGCATCTTCTCTTACCCTTGGCCCTTCTTACTGCCCAAGAATAGTAACTGGAAACATACTATAGCTCCTAATTATCTCATTACATAACCACTTAACACACTGCACCATACCTGTCTGGGCAAACTGCTCTATTTTCCTTGAAAGGTAAAACTGGAATTGCTTTGACAATCTATCAAGAAAAGATGAACACATTTTTAGCACAAAAGTACTGTTCAAGAGCAACATTTTAGAAAAATTATTTCTTTAGTGTATTCAGTTGAAGCTGGTTTTCTTACCTAACTCTAGGATTCTCCAAATATTTTGGAGAATTTTTGTGTAAACAAGTTTGTCTGAATAAGGCAACAACTTTGATGAAACAAACTTCAGAAAAACTGTCTAACTTAACAAAGAAAACGCCATTCTGTAACAAGAATCAAGCATGCAACAAGGAACATCAGCCACACAAGAAAAATTAGTTCATGGTCACATCTTAAGCTACAGTCATAATTGCGGACCTGAGCCAATATGAACACATGCTGATTATTTTTTAAACTTTTTCATTTTTTGAAACAAAATTAAGAAAAATCATGGAAAACTTGCACACCACAGACAGGAGGAAAACCAAACACAGGTTACCCAGCCGCACACTTACAAAGACAACACACACAAACTTAAATTGAACAACACTGCAAAATCCTCAAGGGAGTAACTAGGAGCAGATACTGGATCCAGAGTTACCCCAAAGATGTCTGGTTCTGAACAGGGGATTTTCTAGCATTCATCATTAGTCACCAGCAATCAGCAGGCATGACTGGGCAAAGACTTGCATCACTCAAGTGGCTAGTAAATGTAATTCAGTTGACTGCACAGGAGTATAAATGTAATCCTGCTCTGCTCCAGTAACAATCCACACTGCTACTTTGATGATCATTCTTTCCAAAATATTTTAATAAGGTATTACAGCTGAAGTTCAGAAGTGCTTGCCATGCTTCAATTCTCAGCAGAGCTAAAACCTCCTTTTTTCCTCTGACCTGACAGAAGAAATAGTTCCATTGCTATCATAGAAGCAAATTTCTCCTTTAAAGCATCTAGCAGAAGAGGACATGGAACAGTATATGGGCTCTTTAGAAGAGCTGATATTGGACATGCTCAGCAGTGATTATTCGCCTATAATCTATCAGTTCATTTTCCTTTCCTCCCATGGACACTCTAATAGCTCCAACTGTGCAATTTAGTACACAACTTAACACTCAAGAATGAGCACTGACCTTTTGAGAATGTTCCAGAAAAGAACAGCAAGCAAAAAAGGAGAAAACAGCAAGAAACCGTAACAGACATTTGAAGTATTAGACAACTCGACAAATAAGAAGATACTCCAATGAATGTTTAGCATGGTACAGCATGAGAACTATTTTGTTTTCAAGGAAACATTAAAACTTACATTTTCATATATTCAAAAAAATGGGTCGTGTAGACAGCTATCATCTTCATTAAACTATAGCAAAGGAGTGCAAAAGGAGGCACAACTTTTTCAATGACTGTAGTACTTTTTTTAAATTTTCTTTAATTTAAAAAAAGAAACTAAAGTACAATTTTTTGTTTTTTTAAACTATATCAAGAATTAGTGCAGTCCCCCAGATCTATGTTACATGGAAGAAGCAGCTAGATGACTACAGTATTCCTAATCTGCCCTATGTATGTTTAATTTAGTTCATCTTTGACAAGGTAATACGAAATATAATACTTACAGATGCAGTACTTTCATTTAGATCTGTGCTTGATCTTTTGTATGTCTCTTCAAGAAAGGAACTGGAAACTGCAAGACCTAGAAAGGTAAGTAAAAAATACAGAAAACACATTTCTGATTATCTGAACACATAAAAATCCAGTACTTTTATTTACACTGGGTTGCAACTGACTTTAGTTGCTCGCATCATTTCCTAATGGCAAAAACAACCACCAAAAAAAGTTACCTTTAAGTAAAGGTAACTGTGCAGATGAACTGAGTGAACAAGGATGGAAGATGGAAGGTTGCATACTTTTTAAAAGCAAGAGACTTCAATCACTATAAATGAGACCACTCATAGTAAACACTAGTTATGAAGTTACCTCTGTTCAAATAAATCCCTCCAAACTCAAAAAACTGGTAATGCATCATTGATCAATGCCACAAGTAATTTCAATATCTAATGCTATTAAACATATCAACAAATGCCCGCGTAACTCACCCTCAGCCTTCGTCTTATATAGTACAAAAATCTTTACAGAATTCCTGCATCTGATGATTTCATTGGTCTTTGTAAAGTCTGATACATAAGCATCGTTTGTTAGAAGGATACCATTTGACCCAATCATCAGATTCAAACTGAGACAGTAGGTTCACATTTAATATACCCAGTTAAAGACACATGATGCACTGTATGTATGATTGTTTCTGATACACATGGTTCCCACCTGTTTCAACATTTGTTGGTATCTTCTCCTGAAACAGCACTGGCCTGAAAGCATGCGCAGGATTAACAATTTTCATTGGAAGAGACTCAGCGCTTAATGATATTTGGTTCTCCTGATAATCTGCACAACTCCCTGTATTCTCTTTAGCTTCCTCAAAACGAGCAAAGTTCTTTGAGACAAGATCATCATTAACGCATACCTAGAAAACCAAGATCTTTATTGACCAGTATCAACAAGTAATCACCACCACACACTTGTTTAGAATTTATTTGAAGCTTTAAACAGCAGTAAGACATACACAATATCAGCAAATACATTCTGAAGATTATCATCTCCAGAATAGGAAATTCAGTCATAGTTTCCTGTATGTTCGCTAAACAAATGTTAATCAGTCATCAGTTTCATGCTTCTGCCTAAAATTCTGTACTCAATTAGCTTTTTTATGAGCCCTAAAAATTGTAAAAAAACTGTTAGTAAGCCAAACTAGTTTATTTCTTTCTCATTTAGCATGCATCAAAAGCTGACAGAAAAAAATAATGCTAAACCTAAAATTTCTTAAACTCCATTGGCTCAAAGATCAGTGACGCTATTGCCAATTGGGATTCTGAACTGAGAGAAGATATTCAAATTAGTATGTACCTTCAAAGTTATTGTCTCCAGCAAAGACCACAGCTCCAGTGTTAAAAGCCTTGGTAAAACAGTCCAAGTAGAAGCAGTATTCAAATAAATTCATTTGTATCTACCATACAGCTGCTTAAGTAGCTACAGCAGAGATTTAGCTCAAGGTACACATTTTGGCAAGTGGAACTAGTTTGGGCTTTTTTCCCCCCAAAGGTTTGAGGACTCAGTCTTATGCAAAAAGCAAGTGTGAACTTCTATTTATTTTTATAATACTATGCAACTGCCTTACTGAAACATCTTTAAGTATGATACCACAGAAAGTGCACAAGTGCACTAAATAATTCACAGTTGTCCATCTGAAGCACTTGCTGGACTTCATTTGCTTGTCAATACCTTCCAAAAAGAGGTTCACAAAGAAAAAAGGGATTTCTGCCTCTTGGAATGCCTCCAGAAATTTACAAGCAACAGAAATATAAAACAAAACCTCTAATAAGTTAATGATTTAGCTTCTACTGTATCTGACAGAAATTACAAAACTCACTTGCAAGAAATACCTTCCAGTCTTAAGCTAATCTCAGTTATCACTTACATAGCAAAGTGCATGAACAGGTTTGTAGATATAAAAGTATCTTACCTTTTCATCTTTTATTGTCACATAAAGAAAAACATCAAATGTGTTACCTTCTACAGCACATAACTTGGCTTTCATTTGGGTAGTTGCTAAATATAGTAATAAACATAATAAGTAAAAATATTAAACCTTTATCAAATTATCAATATTTTTCACTTGTACTTTCCAAGATAAGCAAAAATAGAAATCACTGTTAGATGTGTAACCTATTTCTTTAGAGAAGCTACTACAAATATAATAACTTTTAAATGAAACAAGAAAGTAACAAGGCAATACAAACTTAAAGTTACAAAAATGAAGTTGTCCTTAGTTGTTGAAGGAAGATTGAGAGCCAAAACAGATTAATGACCTCTCCATGTTGCAAATATTCTCGTAGAGAAATCAGAATTTAATCACATAGAAGAGTTAGGTTTGATTAAGAAGTAAAATTGTGAAGCATAATGTATAGGATTGTTAAGTTTGAAATGTAGCCATAGAAACTTTAGGAACTGTGTTATGTGTGACTATAGGAACCTTAATATTGTTAAAGTTTGAAATAGCTAACCATAGAAACATCACCAGGAAGTTACTGGTTTTTCTATGTTTTGTTTCAAGAAACTAAGGAAACTGTCATGGACACCAGTTTGCTGCTTGGAAACCCCCTTAACCTTCCCATCTTGATTTGAGTATCGAAGATTCCAATCAGTAGAGCTAAGTGTAACTGACCAATGATTGTTTTTAAATAAGAATATTGATAAGGTTATATAATCAAAGGACCAATCATTATAAAGGTTAAATTTAAGAACGAGCAGAGTATGCATTTTTATGTAAAGAGCTTATGTAACAAAGACCTGACAGAAAAAGTCTATAAAAACTGATAGATTTTGATACTAACTTGGACACGCCTTTGGAGGAGCGAGCGATCCCCCATGTCCCCAGCGCTGCAGTAAACGAACTGTCTGCTTCTTAACTTCACATTGGTGTTAAGGAGTTTTATTCAGGATTTCGGTAACATCCACACAAACTAGTCTTAGTTCTAAGCTAAAAGCCTTAGTTTATCTTTTAGCCTCTGATAATCTGTAGTACAAATGTATGCTTCCCAAACTTGACATTTACTTCTCTTGAAAGAAGTCACATTTGCACATTTGTGCAGCTTGGTTAGGCTCTTAATTCAAGCAAACATAGCTGATAAAAGCCTGTTAGAAAATTCTGAAGCACTTCTGCATACACTAATTATGTGCTAGCAATTAAAAAAAGTAAGTATTACTACTTATGGTACAGTCTGGGAGTTTCTTTGAAATTAAATTCAATGTTATTATTGCTCCCTACTAACCTTCACTTTGCACAGTGACACTCAGATGTGTGTGTGCGTAAAAAAATAAAAGGTAAATGGTGAGAAGTGCTGTCCCAGTTAGTTTGTGAAATTATCAGCCTAAAGACCCTTTATCGCCTTCCTAAACTCATCCTCTCCTCCCCAGAGAACTTTTATGTTGAGTTTGTTACACTTGTAAGCAAGCAGGTAGGTAGTTTTTTCAGGTAGAAGCATGTAAGCAAGATTAGAAAATCTCAGTGAAGAGCTGCTTTTCTAGTAAGACCAAAAGCTGTCTCATATCAAAATAGGCGGCTTGATATGAAAAAGACCAGATGACCTACTGAAACACCAAACATGGAAAAGGACAAGACCAGAGTGGAGAAAAAGCAGTTCTAACTTACTAAATAACTGCTTGGAGCTCAATCTATTTGTTAACAACTATAATAAAAATATTCCACTTCTGAGCTGGTGCTTACATTCTTGTCAAAAAACAACTGAAAGGGTAAACTCCTAAGCCAGCTCTTGCCATCTCTGTACAAAACTACAGCTGTGATGGTGACTCAAAGATTTAATCTAAATACACAGAAAGGCTGTACTGTTCAGAACAAATGTTACCTGAGTGCTACCTTATTTAGCCTGTCCAAGAACCAGATACCACCTAGTAAACTATCAAAATTTACGCAGCATGGAAGCCCACAGTACTGAAGATCCAACTCCACAAATATTTTTTGCCTTTGTCAGTCCATACAGAGAACCTTATGTAGCTCCTTTCTCTTTAATATATGACATTCTTAAATATAATCAAATATAGAAACACAAGCACTACATTTCTCTAACAGTTTAATTTTTCCCCCAAATAGAAGTGCCAATTATAATTTTTTGCAGGATATTTTATTTACCTTTGAGAAGGTTTTGAAAATACCGAGTAGCAGCACTATCCCATCTTCTGGCTGGTCTAGGAAAATAAACACAACCAGTTATCCCACATTATCAAAAATTATAATGGCAATTTGGGAAAACACTTCAGATGCATGTAAAGAAGTTATTTCAAGCCATGCCTAGTCTTAAGAAGTGCACCAACTAGACACATTAGCAGAATCTTACTACTTAGAATGGAACTTCAGTCTTCATAATACTGTTTCAGCTCATCAGTAAAATAAAACTGATCAAAAATTACTGGATATTGCTTTGTCAAGGTATGGTGGCTTACATCTGACATAAAATATGATGGTTAGAAATGAAATGGAATAACCAAAAATAAAACAGGAATCTACTTGCAGAATATATTAATAGGTATTGAGCAATTTTGAACAAGCACTTAAACACTGGAGTGCTGAAGACTGAAAGGTCTGCAGCAGAAAATCACGTTAACTCTTTACCATCTTCTGCAACTTTAAGTAGAAAATGAAAAAAAGAATCAAATGAAGAGCACCATAAACAAAACTATTATAATCTAATACTTTTTTGATAATTCACAACGACGGCCTACTCAAGATGTATGCTATTCCTATCCAAACTATACTAATATTTGTTCTGTCAGAATATTGGAAGTCAAATACCAATTTCTTCTTCCAAACAAGAGTATAAAAAAATAAATTGATTGATCACTTGTAGCTTTGAATATTCTTTAATAACACAAACTAAAGCAGCTTTCTTTCTGTGGAGCCATATTCCCCAGTGATCTAATCATGTCTCTCAAGCTGGCAGGATCTCTGACAGTAGCATCCTGGAACTCAAGGATAGAAAAGTATTTTTCTTTATTTACTACCAGACCCCAACGAAAACCTTATTCAAGTCTTTCAAAACTGCAGTGAGAAAAATCTGATATGAATATAAGGAAAGCACAAAGGAATCCAAAATATACAAAGAAAAAGAGACAGAATGGGGAAAAACAAAGCTACCTATAAACAGCTATAGAACTTCAGTTCAGCTAAAAAAAAAAACAACAAAGAAGTATCAGGAGTAAGAGAAGCACCTGTAAGAAACAGCACATAAGGACAGATTAGTAAAGAAGTTCATGTGCTAGGAATCAAGTGATACAGCTCTGGGATGATAGACTAAGGGCAAGAACTGCCAGAAACTTGTCTAAACTTCTGAAGGTTTTTAAATAAATACCAAAAGATTCAAACAGGTGAATAATAAACCCCAAATCATTAAGGAATCAGTTTCATTTAAGAACTGCTCCTCTGAAATAGAAACAGTTTTCCAAATCTCATTTCCTATGTTCTTCTTGAAACATAACCTCTTCTAAAAAAAATTTCTGCAATGAACTTCACACTTAAGAAATTTACAAATAGAATATATTTATTAAACTCAACTTACACTATTTTTGCCGTATCTTCACAAAAGTCGATACGCAACGTCACCGGCTTTGTGCGAAACAGTCTACACTTTTTTGCTCTATATGGGATCCGCATAAATGCTTCCAGTGCAACTCGAATGCTTAAAAACAAAGCAGAAATAATCTCATTTTACAGAGCAGATTTTTTTTTCTCCAGAAGTCATTGATCTCATAAACATCCTTCCATTACCCTATACCTGACAACACAGTTCTTCCAAAGGTTTGGCTCCCACTGTGGAACACCCTGAAACCATTGTTTTATTCTTCTCTCCCAGCGAGTTTGCCACCAGGAGCAATTAGTGAACAGTTTCACTCCAGATATGAATACACTTCTTATTTACTCAAAATCTTTCTGATCCTCCACCACTACAGTCTGAAGTCTTTTCATGATATTTAGCCCTCATACTACCACATACACTACCCAGTACTGCATATTCATGTTGCAATTATTACTTCTGTGTGAGAAACCAGGTATGATTAACATCAGCAAGAAGGAAATCTAACAAATACACTAATTTGCATTTGTACTCATTTCCCTAAAAAGAATTTATTCTTTATAAAGCTATCACTAGAGTGTTAATCTCATCCTTTACGCTTGGTTTGGTTGGAGACTTCTAATAACCAGCAAGACACCATATATAGCAAGCTTTTAAGATCCATATACGTATCACTTTTGTTCAAATTTTTATTTTACAGTGATAACACAGTAAATCACACATTTACTTCTAGTTGAACTTATTTTAAACTTGGGGCATTGTCAAGTTGTTTTCCAATACAGCAACATTCAATTTAAAAACATTATTTAACTTAAGATACATTTTAAAATATTTTAAATAAGCTTTCTTAGTTTTGTGGAATACTACAAATAAAACATTTGTTAAAGCTTCTTTTACTCAAAGTTGTATATTTTATAGAAGAAATTAACTTTAAATCTAGCTAAGAACTAGAACAGTTGTATTTTAAAACACATTTTTCAAGATTTTAGAAACAGTAAGTTTCCTAATGGTTTTATTAAAAATTGGGAACCTGTGAAAACTCACCTTTATTGCATCATGCCAAGACAGACTGTCAGCTCTTAGTAAAGTAAACAAGCTAGTAAACTGCAGTGGGAAAAACCCCACATATTTGTGTCTAGATGTCAAAAGGTAGTTCAGCAAGTGAAACCCTGCTTCCATGTACGCTTTGTGAATGATCTTCACTGGTTATAATTTTTAATTTTTTAGTATATAATGACTTAATAAGGGAGGAAAGTATATATAAATAACGTTAACTGGCAATCAAACATTTCAGTCATAACAAACTGCCATTATTTCAATTTTAAACCTCTAAAAAGCCAAAACCTACAATAGAAAGCATCTTTAAAAATTCACAAAACAAAGACTGGTTTGCTTGCACACTAGCAAGGGCCTATCATATGGCTAGCAGTTTCTTGTGGACCCAATCCACAGGTCAATTAAAACATAGCCTTGCCACTATCAATCTAAATAAATATTAATAGTATTTGTATGCATTAACTAACAAATACATTTCAGTGACAGTGTCAAAGCCCCCAAACACTTACTCCTTTGATTTAACAAAAATGTATTTGGCATAATCCACAAGAAAACATTCTGTTTGATAATGATCTGTACAGTACATGATTGACTTTATAACCGCTCTACACCAACATTTGAGTTCCTCACTGAATACCACACAAATCTGAAAAAGAAAGAAGACGGCAAGTTCTTGTAAATGGAGCAAATTACAGTCAAAGTTTTTTTAGAGGCAAGAATATAGTATTTATTATACAGCCCTCAATTTTCTTTTTAAAATGCAAGGATTGCAGCTTATGTAGTTATTAAGTTTACAGGTAAGATATAACCCATATAGATGCCATTATCTACTTTTATACATAGCAATATTAAAAAAAAAAAAAGATTAACGCATATCTTGGGTACTTCACCCCCAAACAAATGCAAATAACAGATTATTTCTATCTATACAATATAGCAATGATTTTACCTGGCCTTCTTCTACTGTTAGTGGTTTTACTTCATCCACATCTTTATAAGATTTGTCATAGAATTGATTCATTTCAGCATTCAGGTTTTTATATTCTATTTCATCGACTATGCAAGGCCCACATCCTTTCATAGTAACCCAAAAGCAATCTGGATCTTCAATCTGAGGCAAGGGGTAGATAACAGTAATGAATACTATTAGCTCCTGATAAAATGTTAGGATGTTTTTAAAAACATCTGAGCAGCAGATATAACAATAAAACTTAAAATCTTTAGCGAGGCACCTTAAAAATTATGGTGACTCATACTTAGCATACAGAATGTTAACAAGCAAAAACATCATTCGACTTCAGACCATTAGTTCATTAAATGACTTCTCAGCTTGTAAGTTTCTTTAGCACTAAAAAGTTGGTTAAACCAAACAGTGGGTAAAGTGCAAAGGCATAAAGCTTTATTTATTTCCATATTATCTTCAAGAAGTATATATAAAAAAACCCAAATGCACAACAAACCCCACCAATGGGTTTTTCTTCATGCTTGGAGAGTCTGTAAGTCAGTTTCTTTAAAACAGGGTTCTATCTTTCTGCTCAGCCTTTGTAAACCTTTATATCCCAGTCTTTCAGCTCATCTGGGTCCCCAGTTGTTGTGGGTTAATCCCAGTAGGCAGCTAAACACCACACCGCTGCTTCCTCACTCCCCTGCAGAGGGACGACTGAGAGAATTGGAAGGGTACAAGTGAGAAAACTCATGTGTTGACATAAAAACAGCTGAATAGGTAAAGCAAAAGCTGCACATGCAAGCAAAATAAGGAATGCATTCATTGTTTCCCATTGGCAGGCAGATGTTCAGCCATCTCCACGAAAACAGGTCTTCACCATGCATAATGCTGACTCGGGAAGACAAATTCAATAAACGCAGACGTTCCCTTTTCCTCCTCCTTCCCTGCAGCTTTTATTGCCGAGCATGACGTCATATGGTATGGAAAATCCCTTTGGTCAGCTGGGGTCAGCTGTCCTGGCCATATTCTGGGAAGACAATTTTTCCATGATCTCTTGTGGAATTCAGTAGAATTTAGTACTATGCTACACTCTATTTATGTTGCACATCTTCCATTTTTTATTTTAACTGCATCCCTACTAACCTCTTTTGAAACAAAACCAACACAAACGCCTAAAAGAAATGACAAAACATATATAATCCATATATGAACCTACACATGTAAAAAATTGCTTCTGAATGGAAATAGAGTCATCATCTTATTTGTAAATCTGACTTTCAGAGAGTAGCATTGAAATAAATAGCAATCCTTTAAACTTTAAAAAACACCAGCATACCTCCAATAGCAAGACTTCCATTCTTCTCAGCTTAAGTCTCTCAACACTACTGTAAAAGAACAGCAAACATTTGATTAACCGTTTTCAGAGGTGTCATTTATCTGAAGCATATCTAAAGAGTGTACACCTAATGCAAGCCTATAGATTTTTTTACTACTTGTCTCAGGAGTATTAGTCTAGGCAACTGATTTACACTTATCAAAGGGTTCAAGCCAGCCTTCCTAATGAGGCACTATATTAAAGTCTAATTCACATTTGCCATCCACACTTACTTACACACAACCACATCAATTTTTAGTACCCCAGAACATATCTGTTATCCTCAACCTACTTACAGTATATAGCTGCTTATCTTACATTCAAAGACCAACAAAAATAGGCTGATTGAAGAAAAGGGCTGCTACAGTCTATCTGCAAGACTAAACCAACAGAAACAACAGAGGCAAGTGTTTACATCATTAAAAAAACCCCAAACCTAACACAAAAGAAGAGTCCCAACCTTAGCAAACAATTTTAGCATGACAGGGATTTTTACTAGTATTTCATGTTATATTCATCTGCAATGGTACATATCATACCTAAGCATTACAACGGAATAATATGGACTGAAGTAATTTGCATTTCATTTTGGCACAAACCAGCACATCACAATATCATCACTGCAGCATCTAGCTTACCACTTAAGAGAGTTCACAGTGGAAACGGGTGCCTAATAAAATGTTTTGGGAAAGGAAAGTCAAGACATTGGCCTTCCACTTCCAAAGGTAATGTTGAACAAGTCAGCACAAAATAAGAAACAATACAGCTACACTGTGGTCATAACTAGCAACATGCTTTGCTAAGAGAAGGTACTAATGATTCCCAGTTTGACATTACAATTAAGCAGCTGAAGTTATTTTAGAAGCTTTACTTAATATCATGATATAAGCATACCATCCAAGTTACACAGAAGTCTCTTACCACTGCACTACAATATACTATAACACAAGATACATAGTGCTGCCTTAGACACTTAAAAAATACACACTTTGGTTTCAGGAATAACATGTGAGAGGCATAAATAACCTCTCCTAATCTCTCAGTTTAAGTCATACAAAACTAATAAATTACTTAACAAAGCAACAAGGATAAGGCACACCCACATAAAAGGCTAGATCCCCAATATATTCCCAATAACACCATACCCACTTTGTCATTGAGAACTAAATGAGAACACAAGTGCTTGCTCAAATCCCATACCCAACACTAAGGATACTTAATTTGTAAAGATGCAAAAGATCACTAAACACCTCTCCAACAACACAAGTCTGACACAAACACTCCCAGAAAAAACAACCAACTCGCTATCCGAGGCTCTCTCCCTCTAGTCAGTCTTAATCCTACTAAAACCCCCATGTTTAATAGGCACAGTACAAGGAAAGAAGACTACAATAAAAAAAAGTAAGGACTATTACCAAACCCTTTTTTTTTTTTTTTCACCCCCCCCCCCCCCCGTTCTACCTTAGTTTCACTCTGTCCCGCGTAAAAACAAACCCGCTAACCTTAGTCACCAACACCACAACGCCCACAGGCGCCCACACACAGACCTACACACGCTCCCCACTGCTCTCTTTAGAAGCTTCCAGAGGCAGCCGGCCCTCCCGCCTCCAAAATCACACCCCGTGCGCATGCGTACGCAGGCCGCAGACTACAATTAGGCGGTGCGCGCCCTCAGGGTACTGCCTTGCGTTTGCTGCGCAGGCGCCCTATGGTGCTGAGGTGATGCTGGGTGGTTGGCGGCGGCGAGGAAGTGTGTTCTCGGAGTGCCTTGAAAGGCCTGTAATGGCGCGTTCTCGACTCTTTAAGTGTATTGTTGTGGGAAAGGAGCCTTAAGTGAGAGTCTTGTCTTTCTGCTGTGCCTGCTCCGCCTCGGGGGGGGCAAGACTCGCCGTGCAGCACTGGTGGTGCCTCAGGCTGAGGAGGGAGGGGGCCGGCCAAGAGCGCGGTGGAGCAGCTGGAAGGCAGTGGGCTGGAGTTGTTCCTGTCAGCGGTGGTGTCTTCCCCAGGCAGGGTTGCATCCCGCACTGTGAGGCGGTAGCGGCCAAAGCTGAAGTAGAGCGTATTCTTGAAAGGTTTGTAAAATTAGGCAGGTGGGGAGAAAGGACCTGGCACTTCCCTATTGGTGTTCAGCTATGCTACTTAAGTATATACATAAGCGCAACAGAAAACAGCTGTTGTAAGTGTCCCATAGCATTTAGGCCTTAAAGAAAATGTTACTTTGCTCTAGCATCTCAAGCTCTGTGATAAAGCAGCTACTTTTTTTTTTCTTTTTTTTAATTCACTCTGTTGCATAGTACCATTTCCATTCAGGCTTTAAAAAAAAAAAGTATTTCAGGCCTGGTTTAGTTTTGCACAAGGCTGCATAGACAAGGTGGCAGCCCAAGAGAAGGGGATGAAACATGCAGCAGGGAATAAAGCCCACCTCTTTGAGCAGAAGCCCAAACTTAAGAGTGGCTCAATATTTTGAAACTACAGCTTTAATCATCAATATTTTTAACTTACTATTAAAAGATGTTTGCTGTATGTAAATTCTAAACCATTTCTGCTTCCATTTAATGACTGTCATCACGTTCTAGATAAAATAGTATATTTTTCTTACTTTTTTTGTTACTTTTGTCCTTTGTCCTTCAAGCTCCCCCTGCTGGACCATTTTCCTTTTGTGGGTGGAAAAAAGGTATAGGAGACAGTCAAAGATGGGAGAGGCAGACTGTTCACTTAAGATACGGATTTAGTATTGAAATAGCTGTTTTTGACACACAGCAAAATTTATATTAGAATTAAAGGTATAATGTACAGCAACATGCAGATTATGCATGTAAAATGTTCTGTATGAATCTAACATGCAGTAAAAAGTTCTGTAAGAATCTAACCTGTATCTAGGTTGCTGAATGATTTTTTTTTTTTTCCTAAAAATACTATCTCCCAATAGCTGCTTTCTACCACAAAAGTAAACTGGTAGAACAATCATAAGGTACAGAACAATAAAAAATAATCAAGGAAGCTCCCCAGCAACTATAAAAGACTATATTGCAAAATCAAAGCAGTTGCAGATTATGTAATTTCTCTATTTTTTTTTTAATATATATATTGTTTTGTATATTTGAATTTATGATCTCGAGGAATATGGGCCAGATGAAGAGTAAAGTGAAGACCCTGAATTTTAGGAGAGTGAACTTTTAGCTCTTTTAAGGAGAGAGCCCCTGGGAAACTGCCCTCAGTGATAAAGGACCAGAAGAGAGCTAGCAGCTCTTTAAGGATGGTTTTCTTAAAGTACAAAGGCTCTTGATTCCCCTGAGTAAGAAATCAGGTAAGGAGGGCAGGAGACCAGCATAGCTGAGTAAGGCCCTTGTGGTCAATCTGAAGTGTGAGAAAGAAATGCATAGGCACTGGAAGCAGGAATATATATCCATGGGGAAGAATGTAGGGATGCTGCCTGGGTATATGAGAATGGGATCAGGAGAGCTAAGGCACAGCTGGAGCTGAATTTGGCAAGGGATATGAAGAAGGATAAAGACTCCTACAGGTATGTTGATTGGAAAAGAAGGACTTGAGAAAATGTATACACTCCCACCCCCCTGATAAATAAAATGGGAGAGCTAGTGACAACCCACATGGAGAAGGCTGAGGTACTCAATAGGTTTTTTGCCTTGGTTTTCACTGGCAGTTGCTTTTCCCACATCTCTCAAGTCCCTCAACCTCAAGGTAGGGAGTGGGGGAATAAGTCTCTGCTGTTGTAGGAGAAGACCAAGTTCAAGACCATTTGAGGAACCTGAACGTAGGAAGTCTATGGGACCTGACGAGATGTATCCCAGGGCCCTGAGGGAACTGGCAGGTGCAGTTGCTAAGCCACTCTCCATCATATTTCAAAAGTTGTGGCAATCAGGCAAAGTCCCCAGTGACTGGAGAAAAGGGAATATCACACCCATTTTTAAAAAGGAGGACCCTGGTAACTACAGACCGGTCAGCCTCACCTCTGTGCCTGGTAAGAGCATGTAACAGATTCTTCTGGAAGCTATGTTGAAGCATATGGAAGGCAGGGAGGTGATTGGAGACAGCCCATGTACCTTCACCAAGGGCAAATAGTGCCTGACTAATCCTAGTGGCCTTCTGCAATGGAGTGACTTCATCAGTGGACAAAGGAAGAGCAACCTAGAGTTCTCTAAGGCCTTTGACAAGATCGCTTACAACATTCTTGCCTCTAAACTGGAGAGAGGTGGATTTGATGGATGGGCTATTAGATGCGTAAGGAATTAGCTGGATGGCCACATCCAGAGACTTACAGTTAATGGCTCAATGTCCAAAGGGAAACTAGTAATGAGTGGTGGCCCTCAAGGGCATGTACTGGGATCAATACTGTTTACTATCTTCAATAATGACATAGATAGTAGGATTGAATGTACCCTCAGCAAGCTTGCAGATGACACCAAGCTGAGTAGTACAGTTGGTATGCTAGAGGGAAGGGGTGCTGTCCGGAAGGACATTGATGGGTGTGAGAAATGGGCCCATGTGAAACTTGTGAAGTTAAACAAGGTCAAGTGCAAGCTCCTGTGCCTGGCCTGGGGTAATCACCAGTATCAGTACAGACTGGGGAATGAAGGGGTTGAGAGCAACCCTGCAGAGAAGGACTTGGGTGTACTGGTGGATGAAAAATTGTACATGAGCTGGCAATGTCCACTTGCAGCCCAGGAAGCCTGTCGTATCCTGGGCTGCATACATGGGAGGTGATTTTTTCCCCCTCTTCTCTGCTCTTGTGAGACCCCACCTGGAGTACTGTGTCCAGCTCTTGAGTCCCCAGTACAACAAAGACATGGACCTGATTGAGTGGGTCCAGAGGAGGGCCATGAAAATGGACAGAGGGCTGGAGCACCTCTACTGTGAAGAGAGGCTGAGAGAGTTGGGGATGTTTGGCCTGAAGAAAAGGTTTTGGGGAGACCTTATGTTGCCCTTCAATATTTAAAGGGGGCTTATAAGAAAGATAGAGA